TCTTTAACTGATCTTTTTCATGTCGTCTGCTACTTTGCCTCGGAGCAGGTGAACCAGGAGAAGGGATTATTCAGTTTCTTCACAATTTTCAAAGGGTGTTTACTTCTATTTCAGCTATTTATGATTTGTTACACGTCTGACAAAGTTGTTTGGACAAGCATATGATCGTCTATATGTATGCCTAAAATAGACTGTAACACAGGGTGATTCACGAGGTATTATGTAAAGATTATAAACGAGGCATATGAATTATGAAATTGGTCAAAACGTGTCATTTAACAGGATAAGATGCAAACTCAAAGAGTCTTTTGTCTGAGAATTACTGAGACACATTCACACATAAGGGTTAATAGAAAGGCACAGTTAACCAGAGAAATATGTAACTAGCCAGGGGCCAGTGGGCTAGTGTTGATGTTAAAATTAATGTAAAGACCTGTTAGGGTTCTGATTTATGTTTGTTTGATGTTTAACGCCGCACTCAGCAATATTCCACTCTATATGACGGCGGTCAGTAAATAATCGAGTCTGGACCAGACAATCCAGTGATTGACGTCATGAGCATCGATCTGCGCAATTGGGACACGATGACATGCATCAACCAAGTCAGCGATTCTGACCACCCAGACCCTTCAGTCGTCTCTTACGACAAGCGTAGTCTCCTCTTACGGAAAGCATGGATTGCTGAAGACCTATTGTAACCCGGATCTGCACGGGTCTGATATTCTGAACAACATGTGGGACGGTGTCTGGTATTTTAGTACTAAAGGGCGATACCAAGCCTGTAGCTCTGAGGAAGCATGGCACTATGTCTATATACAACTTGCATTAGGACGGGCGCATATATATTTTAGAAGAAAAAAAGAGTTGTCGCCCTTTGGCTAAACTCCTGTCTCTCGTCTGTTTCTGAAAAAACAATCAACCCGAAATATTATTCAAACCTGAATACCCATCTCGTATTGTATTACATGAACCGCTGAAAGAAGGGCGGGTAATGTAGCGCAACAGGACAATGTGTTACCATAGCAACGACACAGTTTCATTACCAGGTATCCCTGTCCCCACTTTTCCTTCGGACCTGTGAAGATCCAGGTTATAACAGGTCTTCAGAAACCCATGCTTGTCGTAAATGGAATGCGTGTAAGAGGCGAGTAACGGGATCGGGTGGTCAGGCTCGCTGGCTTGGTTGATTGATGTATTATATCCCAAATGCGTGGACCGATGCTCATGATATCAATCACTGTATTGTCTGGTCCAAATTAGATTATTTACAAACCGCCGTCGTATAGCTGGAATATGCCGAGTGCGGCGTCAAACAACAAACAATAAAACAAACAAAACATTTCTTGCCAAATATTGTCTTTGTTGGTGGTCATAGGAATATATATAACGATTCATTAGAGCAGAAACGATGCATCTCCTGAACCTGGGGGAGACAGACATTTGCTGCCTGTGTAGCATCTTACATGATCAGGGGCGGTCGGGTAGCCTAGTGGTTAAAGCGTTCGCTCGTCACGCCGATGGCCTGGGTTCGATTCCCGACATGGGTACAATGTGTGAAGCCCATTTCTGGTGTCCCCCGGTGATATTGCTGGAATATTGCTGAAGGCGGCGTAAAACCATACCCACTCACTCACTCCTACATGATCTGAACCTGCGACCTTGAGAACAAAGAGTCACACCAATTTGCACTACCATGACAAAACCTAATTTCGCCAGATGGTTCAAGTAGGCCTGTAGGCATCAGTTCAAACTAAACATGTTGAGCAAAATATTGTTCTGCGAGATGAGTCTAAATGTGTGGCGACTGTCAATGTAACCATACATACACATACACGTTTATACACAACGTGTACCACCATTCAATTATCACTACATACCGATAAGCATAATTGAATTTTAATGATAGCTTTTGTTAAGCGCGTCTTCCGTCATTAAAGTGGGTGATTTAGTTGTATAGCCGCTTTCAGCAGTATTCAAGAAGTAATGCTTCACAGAGCCCGCCTCCTAAATAAAGGGAGACAACAAGATGCAATTTACTAAACTTGGAGTGAGTGAGTGAGTGAGGTGGGTTTAACGCCGCTTTTAACAATATTCCAGTTATATCACGGCGTGTCAGCTTAATGTGGGAGGAAAGCCCGAAGTGATGCAGGTCTAAGACGTTTACCACTTCGGTGAAACCCACGAGCACGGGTATGGTGCTGACAAACCTAGAAACATAATCGGGGCGAACCGGGATTCGAACCAACAATCATAGGTTTCTGGCGTGCCCAAGGGACGCAACTCTGCACAGCGATGCCTTAGACGACTGGGCCACCCGTGCCCCCTTACCAAACTTGGAAGAATCGTTAGTCCTAATTCACGAATCTTTGATGTCTTAGAGTACAGGAACAACACTACATTAACATTCGTGAATGTTTCAGCACAATGTATATAGATCTACATTGGTAATATAGTGTACGTCAGAAAATTAGCTGGACATCCAGAGGGTTAAGTGAGCGGTCAGGCCCGTCAGGGTGCTCTGGATGATAAGTGTCAACTGTGTTGAGTTGTTGAAAGCACTTTTGTTGGAAAAGATTCAAAGCAGTTGTTGCATGGTGTCCGAAGTGTCCACTGTCTATACACACGCAATCATAAAAGAATGGCTGAGAAAACTTCATCCGCATGTCGTCTTCCTCATTTCTGTGTAAATTCTGGGGGTACGGCTGACTAAATGTTCTTACTGCTCAGTTGACCAGGATCCGCTTGTCTTACGCGAGTATGTCGGTTTTAGCAATATTCCAACTACCACGGCGGGCGATACCAGAAATTGGCTTTACATATTGTTCCCATTTGGAGAATATAAATTGGGTCTTTAGCATGACCACGAATGCTTGAACCACTAGACTACGTCGCAACCCATTTGTGTTGAAAGAAGGAATGTTTTTGCAACCTATATCACGGCGTGTCAGCTTAATGTGGGAGGAAAGCCCGAAGTGATGCAGGTCTAAGACGTTTACCACTTCGGTGAAACCCACGAGCACGGGTATGGTGCTGACAAACCTAGAAACATAATCGGAGTGAACCGAGATTTGAACCCACAATCATATGTTTCTGGCGTGCCCAAGGGACGCAACTCTGCACAGCGAATCGCGGCGCCTTAGACGACTGGGCCACCCGTTCCCCCGGCACAGAGAAGAAGAGAGCGACAGAGTGATTTGCAGACCATTATGATTATATTTGTTCCCGGGACGTTACAATCAAATGAAATTACTTAATCGCACTCCTACTGGAGCTGGTTAGCTGTACGATTTACACTCAAGACGCTGTTTTTGACTGTTTGCAAACTGGAAATACTGGAAGAATGATTTTGGATGATAAATAGACTCTCACCCTGGTGTTTTTTTTAATCAAATACACCAACAGTCATTGCTAAAAGTGTAAAATCCTCAGTAAGCCTTGGAGTTTTAAACTGTTATCCACTTGTGTTGATATATCTTATATCAAAAGACTCTCAAGTGAGATTCTCTATGTCCTGCGATGATCCCTCCTCGGGGTTAAAGCGGCGTTAAACCTAAAAAAGGTATTTACCCACACAAGGCTATTTATGAATTTAATATACAGATTGGTACGACAGTGGCTCTTCTGGAAATATAGTTAGAAACTTTCGGTTGACTCGCTTCGCGAAAGCGGTAACTATCGGGAATAACGCCCATGTATTTTCCCAACTTTTTGTGAACATGTTTAAGTTGAAACACGTTTAGACTATGTACATGTTTAGATTTTGGAGATATGCAATGAGATCTTAGTCCATTTCATGTGTTCAGATAAAGCACGCAAATTCTTTGTTCCGTTTCAGGATAAACACAATCCTAAATTCGTTTAGAGCTTAACGTGTCTAGCATGTGCTTAAAACCTAAACACATTTTCACAGTGCATACTTGTCGTAAGCGCGGACTGAATGGAACCTCTGGGATTACAGTGTGTGACCCGGTTGATGATGTGCAGCGGCAATCGTTGATGCTAGAGTGTGTCTGGCTCATCCTCGATCCTTTCACAGCCCGTCGTGACATACAAATCTGGAATACTGCTAACTGCGGCGTAAATCAATATTCACTCAGGTTCGTTAATGTCTCGGATGTTCTGTAATACTACACACTTAAACTAATGTTAACAAACTCCTTGTATTTGACCTACAGATCGTAGTATGACAAGGAAATCTAGAAATAGACTGGTTTAAACCGATGCAGAATAAGGGCACGAGGTAACCCTAATGTAATTGAACAACGGGACAGGTGGGGAAAAGGTTCCAGTTGCTGAAAAATACGAATGCACTTCACAAACAGAGTCAACAGGGATGGAATCCAAACAGCGCAGTCAGCTTAATATTCCAGAGGACGACAACTGTGAGGCCTCGGAACACTCTTCTGCCGCGCGTCTCGCATAGTGACAATTTATTTGGCGGACGTCATCGCATCAGGTCGGTCCAGTGTGGCGACCCCCGTCTCTCACTGTCCTTCTTCATCTAGGTTTTTGCCTCTACTATGTCCCCGGGGGGGGGAGCCTATCGACTGCTGCAAAACAACTCCATGATGAGACTTGTGTTGACCAGATGCATCACTGTCGTCTGCTCGGAAAACTAGTAGCGCTGGAATAAAGTTCTACTTGAGTGAAATTTGGATCTGCAGCCCGATTGCAAAATCACAACATAATTTTCATCATCTTAACTTATTCTCAGTTGCCAAGTCTACATGGCGGATGGTATAAACCGAAATTCGAACCTGTGTCTTACCGCATAAAGAATAACCTGACCTACTGCCCGACCACTCCACCCCTTCAAACTGATCCACTGTATAATAAATAAACTGTAATAAAAACGCTTTTTGTGTTTTTATGTCACTTTATCTGTAAAAAAACAACCCATAAAAATGTCAGCCCTCCTCCGGTCATAGTTGATAACCTGTCATCCGGGTAACACAACGGACGCGGACGCTTGGTTACCCAGATGGCAGTGCGCGGACTGAGGCGGACGCCTTGTGTTGCGTATATTGTGTAGTATTTCCTCGTACCTGGAGGGGGTAGCAGAAGTCGCCTTGAGTATCACATCTGGCTGACTGTACTTGTGGACGCTCTGTATGTTGTGATTCCTACCTGCAGATCTCCATCCACCCATCACACCACCAGGTATGTTAACGTGACTTCAGTGTTGACTGTTAATTCACTTAAATTAAATTAATATAGAATCCAGTAACACCATTACAATAACCCACACTTAATATCTCCGTATGTTTATTTAAACATAGCATTGCATTTGTACCAGTATGTGATATGGTTCGTTTAAATGTTTAATCTTTTGAAAATTAATAATATTTATGAATTCACCACAATCCCACGGTAATAGATCTTAAAATGGCGCGCTTTTTACGCGCTACTGACTTCCTCGTGTTGATAGTCCGTGATCCAGCTGGCAGAGAACGAACTGACATGGCTGTCCTGACGGTGTTTAGCCCTTAGCAACATCCAACTAACTCCTCTGTAAATGCAGCCCAATGAATGAAGAAATATGTTACAAAGACGGGTACTGTCTTAGCGCTGACATATTGACACGAGGGACGTTGTGCTGCAGTTATATAAAGTTTAACTTCCCCTCTAACTCCATGCACTAATCAATTTCCTTATCAATTTAATTAAGTTCATGCCGTTCAAAAGTAATCTTTGATAAGCAAATGTTTGACTAGTGTTCACATCATCAAACGGGTACCTTGCCAATAACATGCAGCGTTTATTACAAATCCTGAGTCCACCTGCTATAGGAATGCGTGTACGTGCATATGTTGGATGTCGGAAACTTGGTGACAAGGCTTTAAGACCAATAAACTTGAGTGGCCTCTTATATACAATCTATACGACACAATGATTTATAGTTATCAACTTGCTTACTATAAAACGTTTGTGTCCACGTATATAATTATATATATTTCTGTTTGTTGCGATTTCAAGTTCTTAAAATGGAAATTGTATAGTGATAAAATATATGCGCACTTATTTGCATATATAACTTTCTAATGGGCCGCATGTAGGGATAACATACTTCTTCGTTTCCTATAATGTGACTAAAAGGGCGCATATAAGTGACTATTAACTGGAGTGACCGTAAACTCTGTGCCGTTGTAGATGAGGCCGGAGACGTTACGGATAAGCGGAGAGACTACGGGCGTTCACAACACGACCACAAATCAACACAAACACATTAATCATGGCATTCATTACAACGTTATGCCTCCCGTTAACGGGGCGACTACTATTGCCTGCAGCGGCTGTAGACATTTAGACAGTGAAACGATAACACGAACTCATTATATTGAATATAGTGTTTAAGATACTCACATGTATACAGTGAAACGTTAACTCGAACTCATTAATTTGAATATATACTAGTATGCGGATATACCTCGTTACCTCGAACTCCATTAAATCAATATACAGTAAACTACGGGCATAACGAACTCAAAGGGACCACTAATGTTAGTTCGTAATAACCGTAGTTCGTAACACAGCATATATACAACAAATGGCCGGGACTAAATATAAGTTCGTTTTATTGGTCAGTTCGTTATAAGCGTGTTCGTTATAAACGTAGTTTACTGTATCTTATGAAACCATGTTATCATTTTGTCCCGGTATGATCCTAATCGGCTCTATAGTTATCGACGCTCCTGTTGTCTTGAACAGTCGAACAAGGCTGCACTGTATACCCGAGGCTATACTGTGTACACCCGAACAATACCTTGCACCCGGATGTCCTTTTAACTTCAATTCAATGGAAGAAGGATATGAATTATGTAATAAACATACCGCATCAACATATTCGTCAGTATCATTCCTCCAAAAGAGTATATACCTTAGGGCTGAAATCAGTTTGGTGCTATACGTGGGAGTCGAAACAGGCAGTTAATCCGTCTGTTGTTTAACGTCGTAAACAATATTCCAGCTCTATGAGGGTGGACACGTTTCCAGTTTTAACTCGGAATCCCGACTGGGGACTGTCAATTCGAATTACGCAAGTTTGGTGTTACGTTGCACCATTCATCGCATCATATACGAACTCTGGTGTACATGCTTGATGACGTGGCTGACGTCGTGTGATCGAACCCCGACGGGTGATCCAGACTTGATGATATACAGCCCGCCGTCACACAGCTAGGATACTGTTGACTGCGGTGAACAAACAAACCTATTCATAGATTGAACCGAAAATAAACGTGTATAATCTCTTTGTCCAATTACACGATTTTAAGCTGCATTATCGATAGGTGTCAAGCATATGATATTGGTATTAAAATGACAAAGGTTTTCAAAATGAGTGATGTGCATGCGAATGAGTGTTCGTGACATTTCTATGAATCAGACACATTGTGTCACATCAACTAGTCAATAACTATACGTAATCCCATCACTAAGCCTCGGAGTGATTCCCCCTTTCCCGCCCTGCCTAGAGGGCGTTGCTTTCATCAGTTTCCGTCACAGGCTCTCAACTTGCACTGCGACTTAATTCGGCTATCTGTCACCTCCAGGCACCGTAATGTTGTGGAGCATGTCTCGTCTCAATGTTTTATTTTGAGAAAAATTCCTCACTTCTTTAGATCAAACAGATTATCTGGTTCATTACTGCCATTAGTGGTTCCCGTTTTCAAATCAATCATCTTTCATTTCTCTCTGAACTTAGGGGATTATCAACATTGGCCTCGATTATTAACCATATACTTCACGATTCTAGACCATGTCACGAGGAACAGATTCTGTATTTTGATGAAATCATATTTAGCAACATGTCAAAAAGCACATGTTAGCAAAATTAGCACATGCCAAGTCTATATGTCTCAGGGGCGGTCGGGTAGCCTAGTGGTTAAAGCGTTCGCTCGTCACGCCGAAGACCCGGGTTCGATTCCCGACATGGGTACAATGTGTGAAGCCCATTTCTGGTGTCCCCCGCCGTGATATTGCTGGAATATTGCTAAAAGCGGCGTAAAACTATATTCACTCACTCACTCACTATATGTCTCAGAAGATTGCGCATATCCGAAACCCTTCCATTTTCGTTTTCAGAGTCTCGAAAACAATTCATTTTGTGGGTGTTTAACCTCCAGATGCCAGATGTGGTATGTCACCCCCCTTGCGACTTTACAAATAAGTATTGATTTCAAGCAAACATTAACACCTCACACATGACCTTTTGTAGTACTTTTATTTGAATGGGAACCTTCGATACGCTAACTGGATCATTTCTTCCCGGGAGATTTTAAAGCTTAAACGATACGATTATCAAGCATAAACAATTTTGTTAAAGCGCTGGGGTCGCCTTTCTCGGCTCAGGTACAATAGGCATTTATCCAAACATTAATGATTGACGTTTCATAGAACTTATAAAACAGGTACACTAAGGATATATAGACGTAATGTATTAGCTTTCAGAGTAGAACGGGCTATATAATAGCTGCCACGGGTGATGTATACACCCTGTACACACATCAATCATCCTCGATCTTTCAGGGCGCTATACCTCGTAGTGAATGTGTTAATATGCTCCATATAGCATGACCCGTTTCCTCGTGGGCTAAATACACTATTACAGCTAAACCTAGTCACTGGTTTTGTTTTCTTCCTTTATTTGCGGTGCCGACAGTGTCCGGATTAACGTAAGACCATATCCAACTGCGCCCTCGAACGAGTGAACCCGGGAGATAGAGGTCGTGTGTGCGGCGGATTGGCATGGCGATGTGATGGGAGACATTGCGGTTATGATAGCTGTTATCGTCTTGATGTTATTTGTTGTTGATGTTATTGACATTTTTAGGTCAAATATTAACTTCGTGATTGTTTCACGAGTTGGCGGAGAATATTCACGAGTTACCGCCCAGTAACTAAAAGCTTCCGAATATTTATTTACACATGCTTAATTCGATGTAAACGTCATGTTTTAGCCTATCTTTTTGTCCATTGATTCGGCGACAAATTTAAATTTATTGACGATGTTCTTAACATTTCGAAACGATATATAGAGACTGCCGAGCAAAAGAAAGAAAATTGGATTTGGCATAGAAAGGTACAAACGTTATCAAAACGTTAATAGGCTGAAAAGAGTTACACTGCAAAGTTAAGAACCAAAAACACACCTATGATACCCGTATCAAATACACGTCTATGAATAACCACTTCTTGTTTGTTTCATGTATTGCCACCATCAAACATGGGTGTATACTTTCTTCTGCCCGGGAGTGTAATTAGGGATTTTTTTAAAAATTGCGCCTCAAGATACCCAAGAGCTTGTCTTCGTCTTTTAAACACAGCGACCATACACCCCTTCTCCACAAGGAAATAGCATAGACATGTCAAGGCGTGTGTATTATCTATCGAGTTGTGAAAACATATTTATTCTCACGTTCGCTCATTCAGCGTTTGTAAATTATATTCTTTGCACTCTTTATGTTTTTGCCTCCTATTTACATGGTCAGCCCGAAGTAACAGTACGTAAGGAGTATATGTTCCGATAGCAAGGATGAAGTATAGCCCCGGGTGATACGAAAATAAACCACGTGGGGAGAGAACTGATCCCTGGCTCACCCCTGCGTTGTCAGTACGTACAGACATACATTAGTGTGTGACAGGTACAATGAACACACACAGAAGCTGTTGTGACACACAAACTACATTGGGTATGTTGAAGGGTACACATTATCCGGCATCAAGTAACAGGAAGATGCACGTTTTGTGGCAGAACACCAGCATCGAGGTGCATGATGTGTTGCTAAGATACGACACATTCTATCTGTTGGGTCAATGATCGTCCGATAAACACAGAGCTACACGAAGAATCTTTCTTAAAAAGTATTATAAACTTTAGGTGACCGTAAACCATCAGCATACAGGTATATGTGCACGACGAACATGGGCATGTGACGGAGGAATGACGTCACCTCAATATATATATAAATACTGTCTATAACATTTCTTATATGCGTCCGTTTTCACTATAATAGTTCAGGGCAAAATAATACTTTACTCCGATACACATGGGGATAGAGCAAATATATGTCTTAAGCATATTAATATTTACGTTTGTGAAAGACATTTAGAAGTAATACACGTAAGGAAGAGAATTTATGGATGTCAATTTCTTTATCTATCTGGCTCCCATTTGTCCATTGCTATTTCCATTCGATTATCTTCAGTGCTAATTCCCAAGGCCTCCCGCTTGCCAATTGTCCATTGCCCATTACCAATAATTCATATTTAAGTCCTGGCTTCCAATTTTTAATCATGTATCAGCGCGATGTCCTGATAAGTGTTGGCTTCCATTTGTCTATTGCTAATCTCCTATCAGCGCCAATTGTCTGTTGGCTCCCCTTGTTAGTCCCACCTTTGTTAGCTTGTTACTTTTGTTGTTCTTACAGCTATATATATATGTTCTCTGCCTCATAGCGTTTATTCACCTGATGAAGGAGTAAGTATATACTCCGAAATCTTGTGTTCCTCGTAATAAAGAAGCTGACATCCATAAATTATCTTCCTTATTAATATTTAGAGTGAGTGAGTTGGGTTTTACGCCGCTTTTAACAGTATTCCAGTTATATCACGGCGTGTCAGCTTAATGTGGGAGGAAAGCCCCAAGTGATGTTTACCACTTCGGTGAAACCCACGAGCACGGGTATGGTGATGACAAACCCAGAAACATAATCGGGGCGAACCGGGATTCGAACCAACAATCATAGGTTTCTGGCGTGTCCAAGGGACGCAACTCTGCACAGCGAATCGCGGCGCCTTAGACGACTGGGCCACCCGTGCCCCTTATTAATATTTAGACAACTCTCTGACGAACCAGAGATATGCCCCACCCACCCCATCCCTTAAAGTCTGCTTTCTTATATTGTTTTGAAAATGCAAATATGATTCACTTTACACTGAACCACCCGCAGTCACATGATTGGTATACTCTTCACGCACCTGTCCTTGTGATGAAGAAGGTAATAAGATAACCGGACAGGGCAGGACGGGGGGAGAGAAACAAACGGAGTAACTTGTTTAATATGTAAAACACGTCGGGATAATATGAATATTATGTGGTACAAGTACAAAGTGTAACATTGCAATATGTGATTATTCGGCTGGACAAACGTTATGCTCCCCTCACATTTCCTTGACCTTACCTCTTTACCCTTGCCCCTAGACAGAATAAATTGAAAAGGAGTTCAACTCGTCCAGAATGATTTGGCAAGTATAGATTGTCTCAGCCCCTCCTGAAATTAAGGATTTTTCTGGGCTCCATTTGGATTTTTGAAATTTTATTTTGTAGACATATATTTTTAAATAAGATAACTATATTTTGGGACTAAATGTCAGTCTAACCCCTTGTCCTTTAACTGTTTAAAGCGTCCTTATACACTCATCATCCCTACCCAATCTGAGGTATCGGTTTCAATACGTCACAATAGGTACCCACGAGGCATGCCGTATAAATGATAAATATTGCCCATGCTTCAAGTAGGACAAATAATAAGGATGAAAAAGGCGTTCTTCTCTTTCTTGCGTCAGTCACCGTCAATGACGACAATTAGTTCAATTGATGTATTTATGACGGTAGACAAATTGTCGTTTATTACTATTTATGACTTTATTTTATAACCATAAAAATAGTCTTTTGTCAAAAATTGCGCCCTCTTCCTGTCAGTTGTCGTCAAGTCGTCACGCAAGAGTGGAGGGGTGAGAAATGCGAGTTATATGTCTTGCAATCACAGTCAGCATTCGTCAAGCATCAATCAGGGGCATTGTAGCTTTTACGGTACAAACTGTTATGACATGTAAATATTATTCTGAATAACAATTACATTCGGTTTTTCATACCTGGTGGAGATGCACGAGACAGATGTATGGACACGGACGTTTATAGAACCGCGCATCACTCCACACTGTTCACGTTTCCTTGTCTTTACATATGTATGTTATACACGGAAACTCGAGATTCAATTATAAAGACGTCAGTTAAATGTTGAAAATGTCATTATATATTCATGAATAAAATTCATGTATTTATAATTTAGAATTTTGTTCACAAGAACCACCGCTCTGTACCACTGAGAGATATACTGAGTATCAAAAGTAAGGGATCGTGACTTTGGGGATATTATTAAGAAATTGTCTTGTCTTCATTACAAAAAAAATAATCCCCAAAATATTCATGACCCCTAACCCTTTGTGTTCGATATATAGAAATACCATAATAAAAATGTCGATTTAAATGAATGTTTTTGTATTTTTGAAAGTGTGTGACTGACGTGTCTTAAACATGTAACGCACTCACTCACTCTTATGAGTGTCCTACCAGTTCGGATACAATCTGACACTACTCATAACCAGACACATTTATTTTGCCTATAACCATATGTACTTATAAAAAAAACAAAGTCTACGTACGTTATTAGCTCGTTATCTTATTGCACATTCAACTTAACCATGCATGACGGTGAAGGTTGTAGTCATTGATGCGGGACTACTTTACCGTTAATATTAACTCTCGTTACAGGGAGATTCAAATCTCGCGTTGCCCCGTGGGCGACATTTAACCTTTCACCTGTGACATATGACACACCTCATTTCCCTAATTTCCGAGAAAGTGCGATATGCCATTAATCCACAAAGAGATGTTTGATAAGGTACGACTAATACCGGAAACTGCTTGTCTCGAAATACGGTTAAATCGAACTATTTTCGATGGTCTCTCGACCTTCAAGTTAACGGGTTTCATTGCATTTTGTAAGTTTTAAAAATTTGATTTATCACAAATTAATCATGTATCAAAACAACTCCTCTGAGAATAAAACCCACGAGTCTGTCAACATGTGGTTTTCCACTTCTTGTAAGTAACGGAACATGTATATAACCTGGTTCTCAGGCTGCATCAGAATCCCAGCCTGACCTACATGTGGAGTGTCGCTGTTCTTGTGTCAGCTTCCAGACCTGTCATTCCAGATGTCTCCACGTTGTGTTGCAGATTATTCCAAGATGGCGACCGTCCCCTCATTCATGGACTGGAGCAGGCGACGCCGCAGTGAGAACTTGATGGACACTGCTGAGGACCTACTGGAGAAGCTTGAGGATGTTTCGGACCTTCTCACAGAGATAGAGGACAAATATATCAAGGTATGTGATCAGGACTAGTCTGATAAAGTAAGGTAATTCTGGTTTGTTTTGTTTGTTGTTTAACGCCGCACTCAGCAATATTCCAGCTATATGACGGCGGACTGTAAATAATGGAATCTGGACCAGACAATCCAGTGATTGAAGTCATGAGCATCGATCTACGCAATTGGAATACGATGCATCAATCAAGTCAGCGAGCCTGACCACCCGGTCCCGTTATAGTCGCCTCTTACGATAAGCATGGGTTGCCGATGACTAATTCTAAACCGGAAGCTTCACGGGACAATTCCAGTTTGTGTCACTTCGTAGGTCCGGTATCATTAATGCCGTTTTAATAGCTTGAATGAGTATGGTTTTACGCCGCCGTTAGCAACATGCCACCAATATCACGACAGTGGACACAAGAAATGGGCTTCACACATTATACCGATGTAGGAATCGAACCCGGGCTCTCGAGCGATCGCTGCGACCACTTGGCTATCCTACCGCCCTGAATAGCTAAAGTGAAATAGAAAAGAAAGAAGCTTGACTGTAATAGAGAAGAAACGACCAGTGAGGGTAAGCCTGTACCACCAACTACGATACACAACTTGAAAAGCGATCCTCGTATTTGAACGTCGCGCACCCCTGGCCTCTCACGGATAGGCATCCGCTCCCCCCACAAACAGTGTAATCTCAGGGGTATCGTTTACCCACATACCAGCACCATGGTCTGCTCAGTGTAGATCGGTATTTCCTATGCTACATTGTGCTCACGTTATTACGAATGATTGGGTCCTCTCTGTTTACCGTCGTTTTGGACAGTTTTTCAGCTGTGTCATAATAGCATTATGTAGGGGGGAAGACAAACGTCACGCAGGTAGTAGACGTAGTTTGTCACTTGCGTAGACTATTGAACAAGGTTCTGATACTCAAATCCCCCTTCTGTGTATCCTGAATCAGCAAAGGGACGCAACTCCACCAGTGGCCTGAAGCAAGAAAGAGAGCATGGAACTTGGCTGTATACATAGTCGACTCGGTCTTTCGAATACTGATATGTGTACAATGACGCCAAAAATGCCTAGCGTTTCGGTATATCTACTAAGAATAGCGCGAGTCACATAATTATTAATTACATAAAGTCATCAATGGTCATCATATCAAGCTATTGAAGTTCTACATTGTGTATCATAATATCACAGTCTCATAGTCCAAGGTAGACTAACATCTAGTCTCTGAAATGAACATATCGTACAGAAAAAAAAGAAGTTGTTAAATGATCTTAATACAAAATTAATAAAAAGGAGCCCAGAGACTCTCTTCATTCTTAGAAATCTAGACTTGCCAAACATTATAGACTTGCATGGGCTGTATTTGATATATTTGTATCAGGGTCTGTAAGACAGATTTAGTTGAAGGTTCTAGGGATCTGAACACTTTCATTCAAAATCACCTAGACTTATATTTTTCTAATAAAAATATTGAAGGACCACTCGATTATTTCATATTACTATATAGTTAATCATGCCATGACAGTTTGTCTATATTAATATGGAAGAATCGGATGACCCTTCACCTTTTTAGTAGTATAAGTTTTCATGGCGAGATTTACATTTTTCAGTGTTCAACTACAACGGGAGAATCCTTATCGTATATGTCTCCTAAGTCATTGTGCACACATACGATAACTTCACCGTGTACTGATCGATGGTGGTATGTCGACAAAACAGATCTTAATGGAAAATCCCATCTTCGATATAGTTACATTCAAGCCGCAAGTTGCCCCTATCTGTGTGAAGTCCAGGGTCACATTCCAGTCACCAGGGAACCCCATACAGTCGACTGTGTCGCTGTTACTAAGGATGTAGATCTGGATAGCCATGGAACGAAGGTTTCTTTGTGAACAGGTCAGCTCGATGAAGTGATTTATGCACTATCAGCAGAATTCCTCCCAACTACGGGACAGTATTAATCAAAAGAGAAAGCCGGTCAGTGACATTATGTCAACATTGTCTGATTGGATACTGGATACTGCACATGGAGTCTAACTTCTTAAGCAATATGGTACAATGTGTCTATTTTGTCGATAAATAATATAAACTGTAGCAGAATTCATTTTAATTAAATCTGCTTATGTTAGCGTGTTATCAGTTAATCTAAGACAGTATAAACATATTTCCGTATACTATATAACACTATGAAAAAGAACTGCTTTATAGTCAATAGTCGCCAGTTTAAGGCAGATCGAGGAAGCCAAGTGGTTAAAGCGTTGGCCCGCCACACCGAATACCTGGGTTCGATTCCCCATGTGAATACGATGTGTCACGCCCATTTCGGATGTTCTCTCGCCGGGATATGGTTTGACCAATACAACCAACGGCCTTATTCTCTCCTCACTCACTCATACATACCGGCTCATTTTACCTAGGATCCTACAATTGTTTGTTTTCCGCACATTCTGTACCATTATAGGACATCGTCATTTGTTTGTTTTGCTACTATTGTGTAATATGTCTCCCAATTTGGTGGTTTTGTGTCGGCAGCTGAACCGTCTTATTTGTGTTTACTGTATCACACAATCACAGTCACACAATCACACAATCACACAGTAACATTGTGCATTGGTGTCGACACACTTGTGCGAGGCATGGTGTTGAATGGTGCATTACTATAGTGACAAAAACACAGGAACTCGTTATTGGTCAGTAAATAAAAATATATACCCCCATACATATAGGGGTAAATAATTGTTTATTTACTGACCAATAACGAGTTCCTGTGGACAAAAGCCTGTGCTAGACACTATGCACTGTGCACTTTCCAAACAAAGAAACACACAGGTAGATATTTAGTAAATTTATTGTACCTAATAAAGTCGATATATTTACTTTAATATCATAGATAATATAATATGAAGCCGTAAGTTGCATTGAAAACTGTTCATTGTTAGTCACATAAGGCCACAAGGTTGCGCGGAACTCTGGTGTGACCGCCCCGGGCAGCAATTGCGGCTCTGTATCTCCTCGGCACTGACTGGATAAGTGTACGAATTCTGTCCTGCGGAATTCTGCGCCAATGTGCTTGTCACGCGCTGGCCAGTTGTGGGAGTGTCTGCGGCGTGTTCTGACGGTGGCGTACACGTCGATCGAGTTCATCCCAGAGGTTGTTAGATTGGGTTGAGATCTGGAGATCTCGACAGCCAGGGCAGGTCGTTGATGTTGGCATCATGCAGGTAGTCTACCGTGACACGAGCTGTGTGCGGTGGAGCGTTGTCCTCTTGAAACAGCTCCCTCTGGCGGTCAATGATTGGAAGAAGGTGAGGTTGAAGAATTTGATTCATATAGCGATTTGCTGTTAAATTTCCCTGAATCACAACCAAGTCAGATCTCGTGGTGTAGGATATGGCGCCCAACACCATGACACTACCGCCACCGAATTTGTCGAATTCACGTAAACAATGTGGGGCAAAACGCTCATTTCGACGACGATAAACACGTTGTCTTCCATCTCGCGCTGAAGAAGAAATCGTGATTCATCGCTAAACCACATTCGTCTCCAGTTTCTGTTTTGTGTAGTCAGGTTCAATGAACTACATACTACCTGTGCGTTTCTATTTTTGAAGAGTGTAAGTAAATATCTCACAATGGACGTTCGTTCCCTACTTATAGTGACCCACACACCACTAGGTTGACACAACGCTTGAATATAAGATTCAATGCACATTCTGTGGGAAGTGTCGAGTGTTGAGAATCTATCCCACCTGTCCTGAGAATGTGAAAAGACCCAAACAAAGACCACTCTCCCCTATTTTCCGACATTTCCCATTCCAGCCCTCGTGACACAGTTCTGGATCCTGCAGATTTATTCCCGTCACTTCCGCCAAGTCAAATATTTTAGACTCATTTCACATTGCAACATGTAACAATATAACACGTCTTTTATTTCAGCAAGTATTTTTGTTGCTTTTGTGAGGGTTGGGATGGGGGTGAGGGAGGGGGTGCGGGGGGTAGATATATGGTCTTAGACGCCCTTATATACTTAGTTTCGACCTTTAGCTACCAGGATCCGCTTACCGTGAGTTCGAATCCCTGTTTCGCACCGATTAATATCCTTGACCTATCATCACAATACCATTGCACATGGGACTCACAACGATGGTTAAACGTCTATGGCATGCGTCACTTCGGGCTTTCACTCCCACATCAAGCTAACAGACAATGGGCCTCTCGTAATCAAAGTAATGTAAACCCCAACCGATTCTTTAGCTTGCTTTGTTTAACAGTGTCACTGAAAATCTAAAGCAATTCTGGTATCCTTTTCCAACAGGACCCGATAGAGCGTGACGTCACAGAGAATGAGGTATTGCATCTGCATGTATATGACAGCTTAGTGTGATAAGAGCATGCGCGTTCAGTTGTCAGTGTGCATTCTATGCTTGTGAGTGTGATTGACGTTATGTATATACTTTGCATCACGTCTCTATTCATATGTGGCATTTATAAGCAACTCTATATACGAATGTGCTTTGAAGCAATATGCAGCATGCAAGGGATATAAATAGATATAGGATTGCATGGTGTAAGTGTAGGGTTGTGAGTATAAGCCCGCACCGCTTTATGTAACCACTATATGTATATCTGCTGTATGCTTTAGGGTGTGAGACGATAGATCAATTTAAGTGTTTCGACCAAAAACGTGTTTCCTTTATCATGTCTTGTATGTGTTTACGTTCTCAGAAACACATTTGTTACAGTGTATCATCGCAAGCATACACCACCGTGAGATATATCCATTATCATATACCAATAATATGTAACAGGGAAAATTATAATAATCATGTATTGAATATGTATTACAGGGAACATTATTATTATCATATACTATGTATGACAGGGAACATTATCATGTACTAAATATGTATAACAGGGAACATTATTTTTATGATATATAGGGGCGGTGGGGTTGCCTTGTGGTTAAAGCGGTCGCTCATCATGCCGAAGGCCAGGGTTCGATTCCGTACATGGGTCCAATGTATGAATCCCATTTGTGGTGTCTTCCGCCGTGATATTGCTGGAATATTGCTAAAAGCGGCGTAAAACCATAATCACTCACTTATTATCATCTTAAATATATATTACAGGGAACATTAAAATTATCATATGTTGAATATGTATTACAGGGAACATTATCATCATCACCATATGTTGAATATGTATTACAGTGAACATTATCATCATCATATAGTAAATATGTATTACAGGGAACATTATCATTATCATATGTTAAATATGTATTACAGGGAACATTATCATTATCATATGTTAAATATGTATTACAGGGAACATTATCATTATCATATGTTAAATATGTATTACAGGGAACATTATCATTATCATATGTTAAATATGTATTACAGGGAACATTATCATCATATATTAGATATGTATAACAAGGAACATTTTCATCATCACCATATGTTGAATATGTATTACAGTGAACATTATCATCATCATATTGTAAATATGTATTACAGGGAACATTATCATTATCATATGTTAAATATGTATTACAGGGAACATTATCATTATCATATGTTAAATATGTATTACAGGGAACATTATCATCATATATTAGATATGTATAACAAGGAACATTTTCATCATCATATGTTAGATATGTATTACAGTGAACATTATCATCATCACCATATGTTGAATATGTATTACAGTGAACATTATCATCATCATATAGTAAATATGTATTACAGGGAACATTATCATTATCATATGTTAAATATGTATTACAGGGAACATTATCATTATCATATGTTAAATATGTATTACAGGGAACATTATCATTATCATATGTTAAATATGTATTACAGGGAACATTATCATTATCATATGTTAAATATGTATTACAGGGAACATTATCATCATATATTAGATATGTATAACAAGGAACATTTTCATCATCATATGTTAGATATGTATTACAGTGAACATTATCATCATCACCATATGTTGAATATGTATTATAGGGAGCGTTATCATTATCACCATATGTTGATTATGTATTATAGGGAACATTATCATCATCATATGTTAAATATGCATAACAGGGAACTTCATTATAGTAAACCAAATATGTATTTACATGGAACATTAACAGTATCGTATACTAAATATGACATTGTGTAACAAGGAACATTACCAGTGTCGTATACTAAATATGACATTGTGTAACAAGGAACATTACCAGTCTCGTATACTAAATATGACATTGTGTAACAAGGAACATTACCAGTATCGTATACTAAATATGACATTGTGTAACAAGGAACATTACCAGTATCGTATACTAAATATGACATTGTGTAACGAGGAACATTAACAGTATCGTATACTAAATATGACATTGTGTATCAAGGAACATAACCAGTATTGTATACTAAATATGACATTGGAACATTACCAGTCTGGTATACTGAATATGACATTGTGTAACGAGGAATATTAACAGTATCGTATACTAAATATGACATTGTGTAACAAGGAACATTAACAGTATCGTATACTAAATATGACATTGTGTAACGAGGAACATTAACAGTATCGTATACTAAATATGACATTGTGTAACAAGGAACATTACCAGTATCGTATACTAAATATGACATTGTGTAACAAGGAACATTACCAGTATCGTATACCAAATATGAAATTGTGTAACGAGGAACATTACCAGTATCGTATACTAAATATGACATTGTGTATCAAGGAACATTACCAGTATCGTATACCAAATATGACATTGTGTAACAAGGAACATTACCAGTATCGTATGCTAAATATGACATTGTGTAACAAGGAACATTACCAGTATCGTATACTAAATATGACATTGGAACATTACCAGTCTGGTATACTGAATATGACATTGTGTAACGAGGAACATTACCAGTATCGTATACTAAATATGACATTGTGTAACGAGGAATATTACCAGTATCGTATACTAAATATGACATTGTGTAACAAGGAACATTACCAGTATCATATGGTCAATATGACATTGTGTAACAAGGAACATTACCAGTATCGTATACTAAATATGACATTGTGTATCAAGGAACATTACCAGTATTGTATACTAAATATGACATTGGAACATTACCAGTATCGTATACTAAATATGACATTGTGTAACAAGGAACATTACCAGTATCGTATACTAAATATGACATTGTGTATCAAGGAACATTACCAGTATTGTATACTAAATATGACATTGGAACATTACCAGTATCGTATACTAAATATGACAATGTGTAACAAGGAACAGAACTATTACCAAATACAGAATATATTGTAAACTGGGAAACACCCTTTTATCTGATGTATGCTTCATCAGTCCTCGGTCATGTGTTGCATGTGTGCTTTATGTCATAAGCTATTTGTAGCTTGCTAGCCTGTTACTCTGCTTGGGCACCAATGTTCAGTGCTGACACCAATGCACTTCAAACATTTAAAAATCGACACATTAGTTATTTGGAACTTTTTCCGCGGGTAAGTACTCATAACAATTTGCGACATATTTGCAGTGATAGTAACCTCATGCTGATTGAGCACGTTGTTGAATGGTGTCACCGAAATACATTACCTGACAGGGGTACACAATAGTTGGTCTGCAGTTGATGGTACAGTCTAGCGAACATCGAATAATTCACATACATGAATGTACGTCTCGCCGTCTGTTAGCACAGGTGACACAGGCGTATATTCTGGCCTTCTTTGATGTTTGTGACTTAACCACTTTGCTGAATTCATAGTGTGATAATGTGAGATGTAGTAATCATATTGTGTGACATTGTACGATGTAGTAATGACCTAGTGTGACACTGTACGATGTCGTGATGTTGTAGTTGAATGTAGTTTATTATCGTACATGAACTAACACATTGTAATCCACCAATGTCCGTCTGAAATATGATATGGACAATTTCGAATATACAATTCGGAATAAACAAACAACTAGCGATCTTTTATGGTTTTATATATTTTTATTAGCCATTATCATTGTTTTCTTTGACATTAATCTGTACATAACATCGTCCAATCTGAATTCCCTACAAACTTTTGATCGATATATATAGCCAAATACATATAGCCGTACATAGCCATATACGGTCATTGATTACTGAAGGGTGTTTTTGCAATGCTTAGAAGAATCAGAATATTGTACATGAACAAAATAAAGATAATGCAGTGATTCTAACTGTTGTCTTCAAAGTGAACACACGCAGGTCCAGGATTGTAAAAGGGTTAAATGGTAGTACTATGTGGTACTTTCGAAAAGGTAGTAAAGACACTATGGTTGACACATGTCCTCTTTCACCCACATCTACAACTGTGTTTCTCTTCTATAGGCTGGTGCGGACGATAAGGAAGATGCCGAGCGGGACTCCACCCTCAGACAGTTCAGGGACGGACTGGATTCAGCTAGAAATCTCGTGGGGGTGCTGAAACGCGAGAAGTGGCGACTCAACAAGCGAGAGATGAGCGTTGAACTGCGCATGGGGGAACTTGAGGACTACAAGACCCATCTGAAAACTGACATGGTAACGCAGGCATCGTCACGTGACATCATCCGTTTCGCTGATAATTCCTTGGGTTTATTGCTTACTGTTAGATATTTCTGTAATGATTGGCAGTTTGTGTTAAAGTGGATTTCATTCTTTGTCTGTGTCTCTGTCTCTGAATGTGTCGTTATTTGTGTCTGTGTCTTCCCTGAACGAGACGGTGGACGCCCTGAGTGTGCATCTGTGCCTCTGTCCCTGAATGTGTCTTTATTTGTGTCTGTGTCTTTTCCAAAAGATACAGCCCTGATAATGCCCTAGTATCTGTGCCTATCTGTCTGTGATTATGTCTTATATGTGTCTGTCACTTCCAGTCTTGCCTGTACAAGACAGTGGACGCCCTGAGTGTGCACCTGTTCCTGTCTGTCTGTGACTGTGTCTTCATCTGTGTCCGTGTCTTCTCCGAACGAGACAGTGGACGCCCTGCTGTGTATCTGTTCCGGTCTGTCTGTCTGTGTCTGTGTCTCCATTTGCGTCTGTGTCTTCTCCGAACGAGACAGTGAACGCCCTGCTGTGCATCTGTTCCTGTCTGTCTGTCTGTGTCTCCATTTGTGTCTGTGTCTTCTCCGAACGAGACAGTGGACGCCCTGTTGTGCATCTGTTCCTGTCTGTCTGTGTCTGTGTCTCCATTTGTGTCTGTGTCTTCTCCGAACGAGACAGTGGACGCCCTGTTGTGCATCTGTTCCTGTCTGTCTGTGTCTGTGTCTCCATTTGTGTCTGTGTCTTCTCCGAACGAGACAGTGGACGCCCTGTTGTGCATCTGTTCCTGTCTGTCTGTCTGTGTCTCCATTTGTGTCTGTGTCTTCTCCGAACGAGACAGTGGACGCCCTGTTGTGCATCTGTTCCTGTCTGTCTGTCTGTGTCTCCATTTGTGTCTGTGTCTTCTCCGAACGAGACAGTGGACGCCCTGTTGTGCATCTGTTCCTGTCTGTCTGTGTCTGTGTCTCCATTTGTGTCTGTGTCTTCTCCGAACGAGACAGTGGACGCCCTGTTGTGCATCTGTTCCTGTCTGTCTGTGTCTGTGTCTCCATTTGTGTCTGTGTCTTCTCCGAACGAGACAGTGGACGCCCTGCTGTGTATCTGTGCCTCTGTCTTTGACTATGTCTTATCTGTGTCTTCCAGTCTTCCCTGAACGAGACGGTGGACGCCCTGAGTGTGCGCGTGGTTCAGCTGGAGAACAGCCTCTGTGAGGCCCAGGAGATACAAGAGACCCTGGAGGCGGAAGTGAACGACGCCAAAGAACAACTGGAGAAGTCAGATAAGGAGAAGAGAGGTAAGGAGATGCTTATAAATATTATTTTTTCTCATCAACGGATTCACAGCTATTGTGAAAATACATAAAACATACATTCGTTACGTTACGTACTTGTCATATTCGAGTTCTGGCATTATTTCATCTGATGCTCTATTTTCTACCCAGAAATACTAGCGTCCCGGAAGTCGCTAGAAGATGAGTTGAAGACACTCAAGAAATCAGTGGGGACTATGAGCCGAGAAAACGATCAGCTCCAACTCACGGTCTTGCAAGAGGAAAACCATAAGCTCAAAGAAATGATCAGAGACGCTGAATCCAAAATAGCTTCCCCCGCCCCGAAGGACTCTACTCCTATCCCGCCACAAAGGCACAAATCTAAAGCGGCGGCGGCAGCAGGAACGACACTGCTGAAGCGACCAGTGGAGAACGGCGACACGCCGGAAGTGTATCTGTAGCATGAGTACATGAGTACAAACATACACGTGGAATTACAGATGTTATCAGGGGCACAAATTAATAGGACGGGTAAGACATGGAGTGAAATTGGTAAATCCCTTTTTGACACGAAAAATCAATAGTTTTTTCATTGAAGGTTAAGAGCTAGAAAACGATGTGTTTGGAATCAAAAGACGTCAAATCAAGTTATCATCCTCCATATGCATGTCAAAATAATATGCAATATAGTTTCTGATTGTAACAAAGCCTTTTTCGTTAATACATTGGGTGAAGCTATTTGTCTTCCTCTGAATTTTAGTAATTACGCTTGGTAATGGCAATTATGTGGCTTAATATAAAAACGTGGTACTATCATTAAATCAAAAGAAGGCAGCAATTCCGACGAACAAGTCGCATTGGTCGCCTTAGTCCCAAATCTCGGAACTCCACTTCCGGTTACCCGGGGCTTGTGACCTTGGCGCATGGAATGGGTGACCGGATTGGGGGTCGGAACGAGACAATGGACTTCGATATTCCAGGTGTGTGTGAAAGTTCATTTGTGTGAATAAGGCAGATGCATGAATTGTGTGTGTGTGTGAGAGAGAGAGAGAGAGAGAGAGAGAGAGAGGGAGTGTGTGTGTGTGTGCGTGTGCGTGCGCGTGCGTGCGTGCGTACGTGTGTGTTAGTACAAGGGAAGCACTGGTGATTTCCAATGACGGACAGTATACCGAGGGTTATTTAGTCTACACATTTATACCGATTGATATGTTGAGGAATGGCGTGTATATACTAGTATATCCTACTGGAAGAGGGGGAAAGGGGTAGGTCTCCTCATGTACATTGTACAGACGACAATGCGATATTTGATGGTATCTTTCATGTCAATTCATATACCCCTCCAACAGAGCAGAGTCACTTCTTTTATCGAATGTCCTACGGTAGGATATAGGTTTCTAGAAGCTATTTGAAAACAAACAGTATCGCACAATATGAACGATTAATGTACCTATATGTTCCATATCCCATCAACGACGCACACGTCAACGAAATTATACCATGCAGCCTGTTACTCATGTTGTTTCGAAAGGCAAGATTGTGTACGAGAATGCTGTGATAACCAAGACTTTGAGTTAGAGGGAGCGATGAAGGTATATAAACACACCGAGAAACCCATGTTTCTTGTTTGGGCTGTGAATACTGGCGCTTAATGTTACTTTTTTCGCTTAGGTGTAATCACACCAGCTTAGATATCTGTAACACCATAAACAATTTAAACATACTTTACTTTACTTTCTGAAATAAAATATACCAATTTATTCATCAACTTTTGAAGCCATCGTATAGAGGCTCGTGACCACTACGAATACAAATCTTTCTGAAATGATTATTTAGCAGGCAAACCGTATGATGAATATCCATATTTATGCAAGATATAGTTATTGTGGATATAACACGTAGTTATGGGACAGAACAACGTGAAAAGGAACTGTATCTGTGATGCTGGACGAGAGAACCTGTGGTGTTATAGAGGGCACCTGCTTACTATGCAAGACACTTCCGGATCTATCTGGGGTGACCAACAGGGACTATGCAACCCCGACTCTTTTACCCTTTAGGGGCTCCATGACTGTACCAAGGACACACAAGGAAACCCAAGGACCTGTGTCACGTGATTCATGGTGTATAGAAGGTGCTGGAGATATTTTGCTTTCCAATATTTTTATTTCTTGATTAAAAAAGTTCGCATGATGCCTAGGTTTGTGTTTTGTTTGAGAGGGTGCAATGCAGCTTTGCGTCGCATCATTTAGTTTGCTTGTTGTTTAACGCCGCACTCTGCAATATTTCAGCTATATGACAGCGGTCTGCACAAAATGGAGCGTGGGTCAGACAATCCAGAGATTGACTTCATGAGCATCGATCCACGCAGTTGGAAAATGATGACAATGCATCAACTAAGTCAGCGAGCCGGACCACCCGATTCCCTTAGTCGCTTCTTACGACAATCATGGGTTGCTGAAGACCAATTCTAATCCGGATCATCACGGGTCGCATCATTCAGAATGCCTTGTGTGACGACGTATGGATCATACGAACCTTGCAGTGTTATAGGGCGAACCATGCATATGACGTTAATATATTAGATCTCTGCCTTTATGGCCAGCAACAACATACGGGTATTCGTTAAATTTTGTTGAACCCCCACGGCGGGTGTTGAAGAACAAATACATTGTAGAAACCGTCATTGACAAACATCCACTACATGACACAGATAGTGTTCGGGTTTGAATTCACCTCGCTGAAGCGTAACTCTACCCTGTCTTTCAAGGCATGATCTGACGATCACCATAAGGCCAGAGACTAAAGGTAACGGGTCCCCAGACCTTCCACGAAGCGATATCTCACGGTCTCCTCAACAACACAGTGATCAAATGCTGTATATAGAATCAGTGGAGACATACTCTACTATGCCATACATGAGACCTTATGCATCGCATTTTTCAGCTGATCTTCGATCTATGAAAATGAAATGTGAAAAAAAGCGTATTGTCGAAAGTCTTTAATTAGGAATATCTGTAAGAGATACCTATGTAACGCATTTTGCCTTATAAGGATGCTATTTCTAATCGACTACATCTTCCCGAGGCAAGGGAGTTAACCGACTATAAAAGTCCAGTTTGGACTTTTAAAGTCAGTTAACTCTCTTGCCTCGGGACGATGAATCGAATATCGTGGGTAATGACGTTAGCTGTGACGTCACAATGAAAATGGTGCTTTGATTACTGGTTCGGTTCAGCTGTTTTCAATCGAAATTGTATTGTATCGAAAAAAATATATTGTCCCTGAGAATTCTTGAAAAAATAATTATGCAAATCAATTGCCTGCCACAAAACTTACATTTATTGCAAGGTATATTTTTTGCTTCAAATAAAATTCAGGCTCATAGTTTTAAATAAAAACATATCTGTTCTTGCAGTTGAAGCTGTTACAAAATATCTAATCTCTATGCAAAATCTCCCATCTGTGACACACTATTTTGCAAAATAATCTCCAATCTCTTGGTCCAGCGTTGTTGCAGCTTGCTATCCCTGTCCTATAGAAGGCTTCAGCTCATGGTTATTTGAGTACACAGAGTAGAGACAATAAGTCAGGGTGCTAGGTCAGGAGAGTAAGAGGCAAGGGGACGTAATTCAAAGCCATACCACGCAGTTGCAGCCACTGCCAATTGTGGTGTGTGCACGGGCGTATTGAGCCGACCAGTCCTTGTTTTAGCCCCGTAGTGCCGAGCGTCAGGCGGGGTAACTACAGGGGGCATCTTTTAACGTCTTATTGTATATATGTCGAGCACCCGACGTTCCGCTTTCCGGGCGGACGCTCTACCGCTAGACCACGGAGGCGGTCTCAAGGTGATGGACCTTGGTCTCTTCCTCTGTACCAATTCGCATCACATCTTTATTAGAATTCTGCTATGAGGACAGGAACTTTTCGATTATAAGAGGCGGCTAGGACTATATGATATTGTCAGGTTCGGTGACTTGGATATTTGTTTGTCATCGCAACCTGACGGCGTGGGAATACCTGGGAATGCTGCTGCTAGTATCAATCGCTGGTTTGTCTGACCCGATACACGTTACACCGTCATACAGCTGGAATATTGCAACAACCAAACAAAGCATCCTGAAATGTGTTTATCCGGACGATTTAACAGGGAACAGCTAGTATCGTTCGAAAATAGGGGATGTCACAGTATATACTGTCTGTTCTTATATCGGGTTCCCTTAACTGATTAACATGGTTATGCAGTGTCGTTACAATTGATTACCAATCCACCCAAGCACTGAGGGGCGGTGGGGTAGCCTTGTGGTTAAAGCGTTTGTACGTCACGCAGAAGGCCCGGGTTCGAATCCCAACATGGGTACAATGTTTGAAGCTCATTTCGGGTGTCCCCCGCCGTGATATACCTGGAATATTGTAAAAGCGGCGAAAAACCACACTCACACCACGCACTGTCCTTTTCTGAGTTTCTGCGCTTCATGCTACAAAACATCATTGGGTGTCATATACTCACGGGACACGGGACGCTCGGTGTCGAAACAGAGTTGCACCCCTTAGATATAATGTGGCTCAAAGTGTCGCTCTGATGGTCTGTCAGAGCTGTTCTCGTGTTCACAGGATTCACCAACAGCTGACAACGCCTAAGGCATGTGCTGCCATTTAGGTCTGTCCTCCCACACTAGGCTGACGCCCCGTGAAATAACTGAAATACTGCTCAAATGTTCAAAGCAGCATTCTACTGTCTCTCACTCATTCCTGGTCGCATAATCCGTGCATAGTGCAGGTGGGAAGTTACAGGCAGATTTAACCAATGCCTTATTTATTCATATAATCTAGGGTGCTAATTAGGATTGCACATCTTTATTTCGGATCTCGAGTCTCTGGAATCTAAGCCAAACTTCCCGTCTTAACAGATCAACCCTGGAAGGCGCACACCTGTGTCAACACTGCCTTGGCCAGTTCCGGTAACAATTCGAACAAAGCGCCGTACAATCATCCCATTTAACAGTGTTATCGTTTGTTTGTTGTTTAACGCTGCACTCAGTAATATTCCGGCTATATGACGTCGGTCTTTAAATAATCGAGTCTGGACCAGACACTCCAGTGATTGAGATCATGAGCATCTATCTACGCAATTGGGATACGGTGACATGCATCAGCCAAGTCAGCCACCACCCGATTCCGTTAGTCGCCTCTTGCGGCAAGCAAAGTCGCCTACCGTTCAGTGTTGTCTAGATTTACTTAAATCTGAAAAGGTCAAAACATATTTTATGAAACTAATCGAAAAGACAATCACGGCCTGTATTAATTTTCTGATCGGTCTGGTTGGTCTGAGTGTGTTTGGTTTATTTCAGTGTAGAGGCCAAGGTCAATTCTTGTTCGAAAGTGTGTTTTTTTAGATATGCTGTGGGGCAGGTTGTAATATACTGTGGAAATATATAAGGGGACACTTAGTTGTTGACACAGTAACATGATATGCTATCATGGGTTCCCAGCCCTGTCTACTAAATACGCGTTGAAAACAATGCACACAAACACATCTCAACATTTTATTCGAACGTGTTGAATTTACATGGGCGCTATTTCAAATGTACTGACAAATGTAGTTTATATCCCTATATTTTTCATCGCTCTCTTATTTGTTTCCATTGGTATATAAATGAAGTAGGTGTCGATTTAACAACACACAACATGGTGTAATCATTAGCAATATAATAATTAAGGAGGGCGTTTTTTTTCCGTGCAAGAAACACTACCTGAATCATAAGGGTATTTAAATTATATAATCCACCCAACCTTTGGGTATCTACGTAGACAGACATTTGTATACATGATGTTTTCTAATTTTTTCATTGCCCAACAGTGGTAATGTACACAAGAACTTGTCAACATTTAGGTGCCAGAACAAGAGACTCACGTAATGAACTTATAATTTTACTTATCACCATCTGTTTTAATTCGTTTTACAGTTCAACACATCCGTATTTCTTTTCGCAGCTGTATTTTTGTGATAAAGGTTATTGACGTAAAAATAATATCTGGGTACCGTCTCAAACAACCCAGTGAAGCGCATGGGAACAACATGTCGCATAACCAGTCAATGTCGCATGTCTCCTACTCAAAACAGTTGTCATGATGCTTAAATCAGTTTTCGCTAATTCTTTCACCCATGGACTTCTTCTAATCTAAGATGCAAAACTTCAATGGTTTTACATCAAAGTGTAAAAAAATAGTTTATTTTCTTTTTCACATGCGGCATGAAAAACTCCTAACAGCGGTAGTCTCTGAACTGGTATGCGTTATCAGTTGCGCGACGCCTGCTACAACATATATTTACATCAATTTTCTTTCTTGACAAACGTGTAGCATGCGCTGCTTTGGAGCATTTCCATCATCCGGTGTAAATGCATGCAATCGCGCAATAAGAGTTGACAATTGTGTGTTACACGACTGTATCTTGTATTGTTTTGGTGCGAGTTAGTGTTTCTGAAACTGTTCACATATTATGTATTTCTTGAAACACGGATAAGGGCACCAGATGAATATATGCGAGTCAATGGGAGTTAGATGAGACAATTGTTCGATCTCAAAATACCGTGGCCCTGTATCGTGTGAACCGGCGTGTTGAAAACCCTGCGAAATGGATTTGATCTGATATGTTTAGCACTTTTGCAACATGATTCAATATTGTAACTGAGTGTGTTGTAGTCATCGTTGGAGAATAAAGGGAGAGAATAGTCTCACCTCGACCAGATTAGGAGACATTACCGCTGGTCCAACCAACCACAATGATGGATGGTAGTGGTTTCCCCTCGTATGGGACTGGCTTGACTCCGAATCCACAACAAGCACAGGTATGATATGCAGTCCCATAGCGTCTCATCCTCAAAGCGTTTTGACAATACAGTTAGACAGATGAGTCAGGAAGACACTTCTTGCTTGTCCCTGTCCTTGATAACCTTTCCCTTCATAACCAGTAAAATAACCTTTAATAGACACATTTCACAACTCATATAGGCCCCTACATCCAGTGTTTGAAAGTCAAGCTGTGTTTGTCTTGTCCATATTGTTACAATATGAAGACTTAGGGGTCCTTAGGTTCATGACTTTGGTAAACATGGTAAAACGTTTTAACTTACATAACACAATGACATGTGGTGAAGTTTAATTAGTTTCTCATCCCTGTGTTTGTTTGCTATGTCTTTTTGTGTCCTGATGTTAACAAATGTTTAAAATATGTTCAAAAATTAAACATGAAAGTCACGGGGTCCTTGTCATAAGCCTAAAGTTGAAAGTTAAAGATTTATGGCGTCGCTAGAGAAGGCCTCAATTCCCTTTGGACAACCCTTAATTTCGAGTGATGTGAACATGATGGAAGTTCCTCTGAAAACTTGCAGTATTTGTAATGTAGTCATGGTAATGGTCTTATATTTTTTTATCCGTGAAGATCCAGGGCAACGGTAGAAACAAACAGTTTTAGCCAGCTAGTCCTTATAATGATAACATATAGCAAAACCTCTAAAAATGGCAAATTTTCTACTTGTCCTTTTGATATTATTTGGCAGTTATAGGACTAGTGCCAATTTCTAATGTTATGGGGTAGAATAGGTCTTCAGCAACCCATGCTTTCTGTGAAAGGAGACTATGCTTGTCGTAAGAGGCGACTACCGGGATCTGGTGGTCAGGCTCACTGACTTGGTTGATGCTTGTCATCATATCCCGAATTGCATGGATCGATGCTCTTGATGTCAATCACTAGATTATCTTGTCCAGACTTGATTATTTGCAGACGGGCGATAGGGTAGTCTAGTGGTTAAAGGGTTTGCTTGTCTAGCCTAAAACTCGGGTTCGATTCCCAACATTGATGCAATGTGTGAAGCACATTTCTGGTGTTCCCCATTGTGATATTGCTGGAATATTACTAAAAGCGGCGTAAAACCATATTCTCTCACTATTTACAGACCGCCGTCATATAGCTGAAATATTACTGAGTGCGGCGTTAAACAACAACCAAACAAACAGACAAATCTTTTCTTTTTTTTGTATTTAACATATGTTTTGTTGTTTCAGAGTCCACTTATGTCTCCAGCACTCAGTGGATATGGCTTGGGGGCCACACCCAACCCTATGCTCCCACCCTCAAATGTCAGTTTATACCCACCCACCCCAGGGGGTCCCATGACCCCCGGAACTCCAGCCACACCTGCATCAGAAGGATCAGGCATTCGACCACAGCTACAGTAAGTCTCAGAGTTGCAGTGTTTGTGACATAATATTAATATATTTAGCTGCTGTTCAATCTATCCTTGTATTGCTATTATTATTAAATACTCTATTTAATGGTAGCCATCAACATGATCAAGTGCTCATTCCAAGAAAAGCTTATTCTCAACACATGGGTACATTATCATGCCTTTTTAGCATTGGCGGGCATTTCTATACATATACATTGAGACATGCCATCTTATTAGTATTACTGGCATTCTGTTCAGTCCATTCATATTATCTGCAGAGCTCCAGATAAGCTGCGTATCTGCGTGAAATACGCATCAGAAATGCAGAAATATGCAGTAAAATATAATCCAAGCGTATCAAATACGTAACGAACATTACAGATACGCTACAAAAATAAAACTTGTGCGTATCATCAAAATATTGTGAAGTAACCTTGCGTATTCGATTAGCAAATGAGCAACTTATTTTGAAATTATAAGTTGGCATTCCGTCAACCTTGCCAAACTCCACGATGACAGTTACATCATGATCATTTACCATCACACTTTCTTGTGGAAGTATCGTGGTATTTTTGAGTCCTATAAAGCTCTCGAACCCACACGACACCAGTTTGCAGGGACTAGTTGAATAGTGTTTTTAAATATTGAACTTAAATACCCACATGTGTAAAAAGTAGTGGGTAACAGAAATTTGAATACACAGATAGAATTAATGATACCCAATGATTTTAAAATGCATGGGTAAAATACCCACAACACCAAAAGCTTATCTGGATCTCTGTATCTGTGTCATGGCCACATGATGTATTTCAAACAAATCCACATGAAGTTATGGTTATGAAAATATTTGTTCATCATGTTGAAATCATCATGCATCCCTTGGGCACACCAGAAACCTATGATTTTAGGTTGGAGTCCTGGTTCACCCAAATTACGTTTCTTGGTTTGTCAGCACCATACCCGTGCTCATGGGTGGCAAAGGTCTGAGACCTGCATCACTTGAGACTTTCCTCCCACATCAAGCTGACACTGTGATATAACTGGAATACTGCACAAAGCTGCGTTAGATCCAAATCACTCATCACTGACTCATACGGGTGGCCCAGTCGTCTAAGGCGCCGCGATTTGCTGTGCAGAGTTGCGTCCCTTTGGCATGCCAGAAACCTATGATTGTGGGTTCGAATCCCGGTTCGCCCCGATTATGTTTCTAGGTTTGTCAGCACCATACCCATGCTCGTGGGTTTTACCGAAGCGGTAAACGTCTAAGACCTGCATCATTTCGGGTTTTCCTCCCACCTTAAGCTGACGCGCCACGATATAACTGGAATACTGTTAAAAGAGGCGTTAAACCAAAACTCACTCACTCACTCACTCTATTTCCCCAGTCATTTTGTAATCCTTCTTTCCATGTACTAAACACATGGCAGACAAAATAATAATTACACATACATAACAGGGCGGTCGGGTAGCCTAGTGGTTAAAGCGTTCGCTCGTCACGCCGAAGACCCGGGTTCGATTCCCGACATGGGTACAATGTGTGAAGCCCATTTCTGGTGTCCCCCCGCCGTGATATTGCTGGAATATTGCTAAAAGCGGCGTAAAACCATACTCACTCACTCACTCACACATACATAACACATGAGTCCTATTTGCCTGCTGTAGGGACAGGAAGAGTCACGTATTCTGTTTGTTTCAGGAATATCGTCTGTACAGTCAACCTTGGCACCAAGTTAGACTTGAAGAAGATAGCGTTACAAGCCAGAAATGCTGAGTACAATCCCAAACGTTTTGCAGCCGTCATCATGAGGATACGAGATCCGCGGACCACCGCTCTCATTTTCAGTTCAGGAAAGATGGTGTGTACAGGGGCCAAAAGGTATGTACATTACACTGTGTCTTGCTACACACTGGCAGTCATGTTGCAAGAGTTTCTGACAAAATTCTTGGGTTGACACCAGAATATTAAAAGCTGAAGATTCTGAGGTCCATGTCCATAAATCCTTTACTCCAGCTTCTGAATCTCCTTACAATCTGACAGGGCAAGTTATATTTCCTGGAATTTAAATGCTGTAAATCTTGAAATTAATGTGTCTCCAAATTAATACGACTGCTGACCCTAGCCAAAAATGCGACTCAGTATCAATGCGACTCCCCCCACTCCATCTCCAGTGGAGTGATACACATCCTTACCTTAATCCAATGAAACCTTAAACAGCACCACTTATTAACACTGAGTTGAGCACTTCCGTAAAAGCAATGAACAGTATTTTCATAAAAACATGTTTATTCTGTGACTGACATAAAGGAAGTTCCAAGGCAATAAAATAATTGTACCAACAAGAGTTCACTGATTGATATTCGGAGAAAGTGTCAACAAACGTGAAGGCAGATGACAAGACAAAGGCCGTAGATCTGAGGAGTGTGGTGAAGCCTATCTGTTCACGTTGGGTCGTGTCGGCCTTTGACGAAGAGTTGTGTCTGTTTAGACTGCTGGAGACCACTCGCATTTTTCGTTTTTAATTCACACTCACATTAATTTCAAGATTTACAGCATGTTGCACAAACAGTAAAGTAGTTGAGTCCAAAATGAAACTTCATACTAGATTTACTTCATCACATGGTGTTCCTGACATTAGACATTCCAGCAGAAGAGTTCAAATCTTGTTTTAAATGACAACATGCTGACTGACTAGGACAAATATGAACAAGGAAGATAGTTTTATGGACATGCAACTTCTTTTTTACAACAAATGCAACATTACAGTCAAACCCTGTAACTTGTTGGAACCAGAAAATAATACGATTTATCGGTGGTTCAAACACTACAAGTCAGCTATTTCTGACACTGTTATATGCATGTATCATTGTGAAATTTGGTATGCAGCATATTTGTGGTTTTTCGGAATTAAATATACTTGTTTTTTACATTTTGATTTTTGATCCAGCTACAACCTTTGGCTTTCACGTACCCCCATTTTCTTGGTGTTATCACATTTTCGACCTCCTCTGAAACTACAATTTCAGAGTACAAGGCCTATTGAGCTGATATCTGTATGAATGATTTCAGCTATGCTGTTTTTGAAAATTACACACAGAATTCCAATCTGAGTATAAACATGGTGGCCATATTGAAAAGTTATTTTTGGTCATTGTGAACCTTTGTTATTGTGAAGTTTGTTCTAGGCATCACTATTTGCTGTCAACATCGTTGTCCTAAATGATACTTGTTATTTCTTTTTATCAGAATCTTTTGCACCCCCTTTGACATGACGTATATTTGTACGGAAATAATGTTGCTCTTGTGAGCTGAATTGAGTTTGAGACAACTGGATATTTGACACATCCAGAGTAGAATAGTATATATGGATAAAGTTTGCTGTGACTGAACTGCCAGTTTGACACAACCAGGGATTCGAGACATTCGAGTTCAACTGTACTTAAAAAAAATTAAACATGTAAAATGAGTCTTGCAAGTCAGTGAATATGGTTAAACAATGTCGTGTTTTGACTTCAGGCCTCTAGATTCTGTTTGCTGTGAATGATGATTTTACATTGGTTAATATTCAGTTGTTGTGACCTGTACACTAGACTCCGGTATTTCAACAAATTGATGCATAGTTCAGTTTGTGTGTATATATTTTCTACTGTTTTATGTTTTTAGTGAAGAACAAGCCAAGCTGGCAGCAAGGAAGTATGCCAGAATTGTCCAGAAACTTGGCTTCCCGGTGAGTATTCGATAATGATTTGCGAGCATGGAGGGTGACATGGGGTGAAATGACAATTGGGATGCAACTTTGTTTCACTATACATGCAATAAAATACATTTAAAAGTGATGGATTATATTTTTAAACACCAGACCACACGTGTCTAAATAAACATGATAAATGAACCTTTGATGCAAATTGGACCCCCAAAACATGTTTTTTAAAAGCCAAATCATTTATCATGTTTATGAATGTACTTTCTATTCCCAGGCCAAGTTCCTTGACTTTAAAATTCAGAATATGGTAGGAAGCTGTGACGTCAAGTTTCCCATCCGACTCGAGGGCCTGGTCCTAACACACAGTCAGTTCTCCAGGTCAGTTGCCTCCCTTTGGGGTCTAGTGGATAGAGTGTCTGCACAGAAAGTGGGGGGTCTGTGGTTCGATCCCCTGGTCTCATCATACCAAAAGATGTTATAAGGTGGTACTTGTTGTTACCCTGCTTGGCGCTCAGCATAAATGGGATTAAACAAGGACTGGTCAGCTAAAACAAGGACTGGTTGGCTCAGTCAGTATAATGTGTCCATGTTAGAGTGTTGTGTCCATGTTAAAGTGGACCACCTCCGTGGACTAGTGGTAGAGTGTCCGCCCAGCTAGCAGAAGATCCGGGGTCCGATCCCCAGCCGCAAGAACAAAAGACGTTACAAGATGGTACTTGTTGTTACCCTGTCTGGCACTTGGCATTAAGGGGCTAATACAAGGACTGGTCGGCTTGGAGTCAGTATATTGTGTCTGATTGGGGTTTTCATGTTAAACTGTGGCATGTTTGGGTGGGGGGTGGGGGGGTGTGTGCTAGAGGGGGATATGTCATCTGTTGACTCTTGTTTGACTTTAATTTCAGTTTATGTATGTATTCATACAAAAGTGTTAACATAAGCATGATAAGTAATCTTAACTTGGCAACATTAGAAAATGCAGGAAACAATAAGCACGGTTTCAACAAAAAAAACCATGGCAACAAGCCTGGAATCAGTGTAGGTAACTCCTAGCCATGATAGATATGGTACAGTACATGTCCACCTTGATAGATGTCAGTCCCAAACATGGCGGACAACACTAAATGTCCTGGATTTCTATTCTCCTTTCAGCTACGAGCCTGAGCTGTTCCCGGGGCTCATCTACAGAATGGTCAAACCCAGAATTGTGTTGCTCATATTTGTGTCTGGAAAGGTTGTATTAACAGGTATGTTCTCGTTTGTTGTAGTGAGTGAGATGGGTTTAACGCCGCTTTTAACATTATTCCAGTTATATCACGGCGTGTCAGCTTAATGTGGGAGGAAAGCCCAAAGTGATGCAGGTCTAAGACATTTACCACTTCGGTGAAACCCACGAGCACGGGTATGGTGCTGACAAACCTAGAAACATAATTGGGGCGAACCAGGATTCGAACCCACAATCATAGGTTTCTGGCGTGCCCAAGGGACACAACTCTGCACAGCGAATCACGGCGCCTTAGACAACTGAGCCACCCGTGCCCCCCTCTCGTTTGTTATTATAATTGATGTGATTGTTAACTGTTTGACAAAATGTCACACTTTGCAAGTTAACCTAGAATATCATCACCAACACACACATAATGAGCCATTTTCATCCACAAGTTAGATGTTGCTGGATATCATTTAGAAACTCAGTTCTTGTTCGTGGAAAGCATACCTTTTCTGATACAGTACAAGGCCCGTCAATGTTCAAAAAAGGATAGAAAAAGCTAATCACAACCCTTTGTTTCTTAGATATTGTTAAACATGTTAATCAGACTGGGACATTACATCCCTTGGCTGTGCCAGGATCCTCTGATCGTGTATTGGGGTTTGTCAGCAGCATACCCATTTCCCTTCCCTATTGCTAAGCTGAGATGCTGTAATGTACGTAACAAAGTAGACACAATTTATGGATAACAAATTCTTTAATACTGTAAAGGTGACGTTTCGGTATAGATCCTTATACCGTCGTCTTGCTTGACAATGGTGTAAGGATCTATACCAAAATGTCACCTTTACAGTATGAAAGAAGTTTTTATCCATAAATTGTGTCTACTTTGTCATCCGTCAACTTCTAAGTAATGCCTATCAAACAATGTATTGTAAGTGTTTGTTTGTTGTGTTTTGCTGCTGTCAGCAGTATTCCAGCTGAACCCAGTCTGTAAATAATCTGGCCAAGAGAAACCAGTGGTTGATATTATAAGCACCCCTTGCCATCAGGTTACGAGGACAATTATCAGTCACAGAGTCTCGCCACTCAATTCAGTTGGCCAGTGTCCACATGCACAAAGTGACCTTAGCGCTACAATGATCATAACTGCCATACTTTAACATAGACTTACGAAAGTCGTAGCGCTTAGATCGCTTTGTGCAAGTGGACCCTGGTCCAGATGGATTATTTACAGACCAGAAATACTGCTGAGCACTCAGCAACACTTGCTCTCACTCACTCTTCCATGTTTCTGAAGTTTGACACTGGAGTGTTTTTGTTTCAGGTGCGAAAGTAAGAACTGAAATCTATGATGCATTCGAGAATATTTACCCCATCCTGAAAGGTTTCCGGAAATAGCACTGGTTGAAGGCCTGCTAGATGTTGGTGTTACAGAGTGAATCTGTAGCAGTCGAAAAATCCCTTCCGGTCTCACTGGGATACATGGTTACCATGGCTACGTATGTAGTTGCTTGTTACCATGGAAGTGGTTGTTATGCAGGCTCTGCGGACTAACGTGACTGCACAGATCATTCCATTTGGGCTTGGTTTCCATGGATACAATAAACAAAGTGTATGTGGATACATAACAATAATGCCAGTCTACATATTTGAAATCGTCCAAGTCCCCAGTGGGAGTACAGAGACGTGACACCAGTCGCGTGTCAGATGTGGAGTGTCCATTGACGTTCTGTCACTTATCATGCAACATTGGAGATTCAAGTGTGTGTGTCATGGTGGCGCTAGACTTCGTCAGAGGAAGCTGTCTCCTGTTTGAATATTTTTGTATGAAAGTGCTATGTTTGGAGGCAGTGGTTGAAACTAACAAAATGAAATAAAGTTTTTCCCATCTTTACACTGAAATAGACCAGCTGAAACAAGAATACCATCTTCCCGAGGCAAGAGAGTTAACTGACTTTAAAAGTCCAGTTTCAACCCTTGCCGAACTAGGCTGGAATTACTGGGCTCGATCGTAGTGCCACCAGTGGCTATTAACAGCTATGTCCCTTCTAAGCCTCTCCTATGGACCAATCAGATTCCACCATTCGTATCACTTGCGTTTGCTTCACACACAATGGTGGCGCCCAGTCAGGACGATCTGATCGATAATCAAGATCTTTATTGTGATAAAATGGGTCTTACATCGCGAAATGCATCAAATCACGTGAGCACATTGATTAAAAACATGAAAAGATTTGGAAAATATCTGCTGACAACGAGTTGGTGGTGCACATGCTTTGCAAATCCTGCAGTCGACCGAAATCTGCACGACAGTTTACAAACCGGATTTCGATTTCGGTGCGCGATTTTGATTGGACTATGCATAGACTCGTTAGTCCAGCCAAAATGTAACTCCATAATACCAGCCTAGTTCGACAAGGGTGGAAACTGGACTTTTGTAGTCAGTTAACTCTCTTGCCTCAGGAAGATGCAAGAATACTGATTTAGTTCATTTTACTGTATAACAAGAAATATGATTCTCAAAACTTGATAGGGATGCCTTAAGTGTTTCATACTGAGGGGCCAAGTACTTATGGATCTGTGAATTGTGGAGGTCAAAGTTCAGCTCCATGGCAATATCAAGTACCTTTGTTTGAGATCTTTGCCATCACCTTCACCTTCACCAAATCTTAATAGTCAGCATTCAGTCCCCATCTGGTGTCCGGGTCACTCACAGTCGCCTTATGAAATATTGAGCAGTATAGTTCTTGCCATCTCATCTTCTCTTTTCATAAAATGAAGGTATGCAGCTCTGATTTGTTTGTTGCTCAGTTTCTGAAGTGTTTGGCTGTGAAATCCTGGGAATCATGTCCCTGCTCCCACCTCAATTATCCAGTGTATTATTTCTCAATCCTATTTATATAAATATCCTGGACCCACTGCTACCAAAGCTTCAATTTGAAAATGATGTCACAGCCTCCACTGCTCCTGTCATGAAGGTAATTTGATTGGATGGCTATTTTTAGCATTTTGCTATTTGAGTCCTTCTCCAAACGAACTTTGACGGCGAGTGGGATCAGAGTACCGTATTCGACGTAATAAGCGCTCCACTCTAATAAGCGCCCATGGCGATATTTGCTAATATATTGGCTAATGAACAATCCAAATTAGCACCCCTTCCGATTAATCAATGTACACAAGATTTATTTATTCACATATAATACGCACTCGTGTGTTATATGCACCCTTAATTGCGGGCAATTCAATTCTGGAAAAATATACCTGTCGAATATAAACATTTCAGATTGTCAGCATAAACCACGAAATTTCTGATCTTTCAACTCTCTTTTCACCAAAATAATATTCTAATAAGAGCCCCCTATTTCTAATTTTGAGAGCGCCCTGGGCGCTTATTACGTTGAATACGGTATTTATTATAATAGATTCGAGATATATATGTAATTCAAGAGTGAAGGAACACCTGATTTGTTCATATGACTATAATCAACGGTACTGTAGCTCAAGACTACAGTGAAATATGTTTGCTTGATAAATACTAAATGGTACATCTCTTTTCATTCACATGATCTGGGGCATAGATCTTGCCAGTGGGAACAGGTCTGTAGCAGGATGTGGGTGCAGGGCTCGATTAAAGGAACTTGATTTAAGTTGCACCAGGTGCATGTTGACATTAAAACCTAATTGCACCAGGTGCATGTTGACATGAAAACCCATTTGCACCGGGTGCATGTTGACATGAAAACCTATTTGCACCAGACAATACAGAGATGCATAAAACTAGTCTAAATAAGTAAAACATCATATCACAAAGATGAACAATCAATATGCTGGCTAATCATGCTATGAATTTGATGATCTCAACAATTGTCAAGACTCTTTTTGTTTTGTTTTTTGCTACAAACTTGATGAAAATGTATTATGTTGAGCTCTTGTTCACAACAAAATCTTCAATACATGTCAATCAAGCAAAACTAGTACTAATTTGTATTTATTGTTTGCAGTACATTTCTAGATATCATGGGAACTCATTACTGTGGTGTACAAACCTTAAACTTTAGTTTATTGAGTTTAACAATATTTTAAGGTATTTTTTTGTAATACACTCTCAAAACTCTGATGTCCATGTTCAGCATTTGTTTCTCATAGGAACAGACACACCATGGCTTGTACAATGTGTCCACACTCCTATTCCATATGTTCTGCTCCTATTTTTGGGCATTGAATCTGAGATTGTGATATCTGACAGTTCTTGTGGCAGGATGCCGTGATACTGCTGGAATATTGCTAAAAGCAGCGTAAAACCATACTCACTCTTGTGCCAGGAGCCCTGCTTGTACTGAATGGATCTGAAGATGGTTGAAGAAATTACTTTCAATCAGAGGAGTATATCATTCATTGCATGTGCTTCAATGATTTGTACATATTGTATAATTTTGAAAATAAAAAGGTCAAAATAATATTCACTTTATTATCCTGACAATTGTGAACCGTGTGCACCTAGTCGCTTGTTATCACTGCCCACTGTTGTGTGGAGGTTTCATCAATATTAAGGGGGAGCGGGTGGTCCGGTTGTCTAAGGTGCCGATTGGTTGTAGTTTATAGTGCATCTAGAATGATCGGCATCTTGGCCCCTGCGCCCTTGGATTTACGTCTTCACATAGCAACATATAGTATGTGGAATATACACAACAACAATAAAAATGTGCTAGCAAGCACTAGATGAGCCTTGTTGCTTGGGGTATTTAAGTGTGGAGGGCGCCACCTGTAACTCCACTTGCTTGGCTACACACATGCATAAGATATTTTTGGTGCAGGGGAGGTAACTTTTTGAAACTTAAAACATTTACGCTGTCAGATGCTGCAGTAAGTTGTGCAGAGTTGCGTCCCTTGGGAAAGCTAGAAATCTCTGAGCATGGGTTCGAATATCAGGTTTGGCCTGGTTATATTTCTAGGTTTGTGGGCACAATACCCGTTCTCTCGGGTTTTACCAAAAATGGTAAACATCTAAGACATGCATCCCTTTGTGCTTTCCTCCTTAATTAAGCTTACATGCCATGATATAACTGGAATATTGTTAAAAGCAGGTTTAAACCCAACTTTTCTCATCGTCGTCCTCAACATCATCTTCATTTATCTTGACAATTTGAAGATCCGGGGTAGAATAAGTTCAGCAACCCATGCTTGCCATAAAAGGCAAGTATGCTTGTCGTAAGAAGTGACTAACGGGATCGGGTGGTCAGGCTTGCTGACTTGGTTGATGCATGTCATCAAACCCAATTGCGTGGATCGATAATCATGATATTAATCACTTGACTGTCTGGTCCAGACTTTATTTACAGCTATTTATATAGCTGGAATATTGCTGAGTGCGGCGTTAAACAACAAACCAACCAACCATGTCCGCAGGTTCCAGCCACATCGTGCCAAACACCATGCCAAACTGTCCCTGACAATCTGATAGCATAGGACGCTTGGTCACCCTCCTTGACTTCAAACCTGCAGATTTGAGTTGATTTCTCAAAGTCTGTGATGGCAGCTGTCAGTGGGGTTGCCAGTTCTCCTTCAGATAGGTGCTAGTAGTGAAGCGTTATTGCCTAATCAAGCATAGCAGGTCAAATTCTGCTTGGGTTTAGTATCAACTGGCAGTGGTGCGTGGCTTGTTGCATATGCTTCACACATTAGAACTAACAGCAAACATCCACATCTTAGTTATGCATAACATTTCATGTCATTACCATAATGCTTTTACCAATTATACAAACAGTGGTTAACCTTTTACCTATTGTCCAGGTGTATCTGTGACAAGACTGTTTGGGTTTTACATTTTACACTATATGTCAGTATTCAGTTTGTTATATTGCCTTGAGATAACTTCGGCATAGATTTATGCAATTTGTCACTATCATTCCACACCAGCCAGGTTTAAAATGACCATCATTCTGCATGTCATAACTACCAGACATTGTAGCCACACAGAAATCTAATTACCAGTATCAGTATCTCATACACACTTCACATGCATCAATTTTGCTCTGGAATCACTGAATGATACAATCAGTTAAAAACCTGTACCAAAAGCAGAAAAAGCAAGAGCATGCTGATAATAAAATCATTTTAATCAATACATGGAAAACTGTATGGATACAAAATCTCACATCTCCGTTGAATTTCAAAATAGCAACACAAGAATACACCAAGTCTGTCCCAGGATCACATGACTTGTGTATCAAACTTTCTGATTACCCACTGGCTGGCTGACTGACCATAACTTACATACAGTAAATCATAATTCTTCATTTATTTGGGGGATTCAACACACAACATCTCATTAAAACACATGATTATAATTACAGAGGCCATTCCCAGTGCTTCAGAATACTGTGAATACTAAACATACTAAAGGTCAAGTAACCCAATTGCTCGGGAGAGTATTGGCCTGGTTTCAGAAATGTATAGCAAGGGAAGACAGACGGCTTCAAAGAAGTTGTTTCAAAAACTAAGGTTCCAGCTCAGTCTGAAGCACTTGTACACATTCACAATGTATACATGTCAGACAGTTTGTTCTATTTGCGACACCTACAGATACAAAGCAAGTGGTTAGTTTCAAATCTCAATACATGAGCAAGGATGCCTCTAGGCTTGTGTAATTGTTTGATAACCCTTAACATCTTGCATTACTACATGTGGCAAATCATACACAAATAGGATGCAAAAAGTAATAAAGAAAAAAATCACCTACAACATGTCATACTAAAGGCCCAGCCTTCACTATGTCTGCAGACCCATGAAGATCCAGGTAAGAATTGGTCTTCAGCAACCCATGCTTGTCGTAAGAGGCGATTAACGGAATTGTGTGGTCAGGCTCGCAGACTTAGTTGATGCATGTCATCGTATCCCCATTGCGTAGATCAATTCTCTTGATGTTAATTACTGGATTGTCTGGTCCAGAATTGATTATTTACAGACTGCCATCATATAGCTGAAATATTGCTGAATGCGCCATTAAACAACAAACAAACAAACTATGTCTGCATTATTGCTGTTTCTTGTGCGTCCAACAGCAGTGTTAGAGTTAGACACACTCACATGCTGGATGAGGTTTCAGAATGTTATAACCCTACTTTAGTCAACTAAAATGTTCATTCCATTTGGGCTTATATACTCATCGGGAAAGTGAAAAAAATAGTAACAGCTCTTCTCATCATATTTGTCATTTAACAAAGCAAACTATCCATAGAATATGCCAATGACATAAAAACACATGTACCGGTATGTCATCAGCACATAAAATAAGTAATGGTAGAAAAGTTACAAGGCTATTTCAGTCTTAGTGCTTGTCAGAGGGTCATTGCATTGTGACATCACAAAAATGGAATGGCATCGCTCTAAGCGACATCATGGTCACAACACCTAGTCATCACACACTACACCTGTCATTTAATTCAAGCCACCATTTACAGGATTACATTGCTATCCTCAAACAGATTCAATCTGTCTTAAATTTGAACTGGCAGTGTGTGAAAAACCTCAAAAGGTCATCCAGGGGAACTGATCATTGCAGCGGTAGAAACTAACAGTTTCAGTCCACTAGTCCTTATAATGATAGCATATAGCAGAACCTTTAAAAATGTCAAAATTCTACTAGTCCTTAGGATACCTTTACTATTGGGCAGTTTGGCAAGGACTATAGCACTAGTGCCAATTTCTAACCCTGCTGATGTCTAGACAGGCTATAAAAAAGAACCTGCAATTTGAAGTGAGGTCAAGGTAATATTAACATGATGGAAGGCCACTGCTAGACACCACACTTGAGAACAGTTGTCATAACAACATTCCCCATTCTGAGACAATCAGCGGAAAATAATTTGCCCAAGTGACAGTAAATTTGACTCATGTCCAAATGGAAAAAACATTTAAAGAACTAACTTTTGGGTAGTCAAAAACAAAAAATAATTCTCACATATGCCTTTACTTTGTGAAATATTAACCTCGGACAAATTAATCAGTATTTGACTTGATATTTCCCATACACCATAGAGCAGATGTTTTACCCCTCTTTCTGTAAAGGATTGGGAACATGGTGCAATCATGTAACCTAGGGACAATCTTGCAGTGATAGTAAATTCATTTTCACATTAGTAAACATGATCTCTCAACATTAACAGTACATAGTAATTAAGAATAGTTGAATATCAAATCACTTGAATCTTCAAAACAAGAGTCAGAGATACATTTTCACAAAATAAAATAATATTTGTTATAAAATTATATTTTTCTGCTTAATGAACCATTATGACCTGTCTGACATGCAATTTCAGGCAACCATTGAATTTAGTTTAGACATTCTGACATTCACATTAGGACTTCCACAATAATTTTAAGAATGCCAACAAGTAAAGTCCACCATGGTGATTCCTCCTCTTCTACATCTTTTGGGAAATGAGGGGGAACTCTCTTCTCGAAACTATACTCTGAGCCATAATCATCGCTAGCACCTTCTGCATTCAGATGTTCATATGATCCTTCATTTTCCTCCGAAACAAGTAGGATTTCAAGTTTATATTGTGAGAGTTCATATGATATATGCCCGTATATGGCAACCCCAACTGGGCGAGAGTAGTAATATGGAATCTCCACAATGTCAAGGCCACAAGTGACAGATTGAGCTTCATAATCATCGAAGGTTGGATTCAGCGTGACATCGGAGACAAAAAGGTCAGCGTCACCTTGGATGCTCTCTAATTGAAGAATAATTGTACCGGGGCGGTTGAGGCGGTAGTAGGTGTAGTTCTCTGCGCCAATGTCGCTGTTGACAGTCTGAAGTAGGAGATGTGCGGAACATGATGTTACTGCAGCCGCACAACATAGGGCCAGAAAGAGCGCAGAGGGTCTGTTGAGGCTGGGGTCACCAGAAGTCATCTAGGCAGGGTTGTTCGGATCATCACAGCCACTTGCTCACACCTGGAATACCAAAGTAGGCAATTGTTAGCTTCTTACAGTCATAACTTTAACTAGAAGAGTTTCTTTACTGTTTGACAAAATGAAAAACAAAACACAACCTGCCACTTGATCTCAGTGCATTGGCATGACAGTTTTCAATCTAGTGACCAGCTCAGTCTTCAACTGTTATCATTAGGGTTATTTCAAGGAGCTCTTGACTTTGATACTTATTTCCAAATATTGGTCTGGTACATGAAGTTAGGTCGATGATGTGTGACTTTGAACCATAAATAAGTCTTTTACACATTTGAACATTTATCTTGATACAGATACGCTTATCCATACTTCCTTGGCCAGGACGACCAATTGGCCCAAATCTAGCTGTAGATCTTAAACCTATTTCTAATTCAAAGTGTTCTGTGAATGACTCTAAATATGTTTGCATATCAATCAGCTGTGTCCACTCTGAGTTGTGATGCTCTTATGTTTATTATCTTACAGCAACGTAGTGAAAAAAGAAACTTTTGCTGTGGACTGCCTCACCGATGTTTTGACCCGACCACATGATGAAACAATACATTTCAATGTAGAAGCCTAAAAAATGGTGTAACGCCATGAGCATCCACTTGGTGAATGGAATCTAGCGCATTATAAATGCATTTATTATTATTATTATTATTATTAAATCATGTGACTGACACTGACCTTAAATATTGACTCGTCACATGATCAGTATTGACCTGTCACGTGATTAATATTGAGAAAGCAAGATGGTGTCTGGTATACTAACATTTTACAGTTCGCAGCTAAGTTACTTTCATGAAACTAAGGAAGGTTTAAAGGCTTCATAAACTTTAAAGTGAACTTCAGTATAACAAAACGAATGAGTACTCTTCACGAGATCAATATGTGAAAACAAGGACCCTCAGACCAGACCCTTTCAGTTGTCTGACCGAACCTCTGCCTGTGTCCTCAGTCCACTCAGACCACCTCAGGGGTTGGGCCCTCGGGTCGCATGTTTTCACATATTGCCCTCATCAAGAGTATTTGCACTTTGTGTGCTGTCATTCTCATGGAGGTAGAAGAGGATCAAACTTGCAATGCCATTACTGCTCATTTATCATCTAATTAACACACGTGTACAAAACTAATGTAAACAAGTGTGCAAGTGGTCAAGTTACTTTTTTCCATGAAAATAAAATGAACATAGATGAAGGGTTACCTTGGAAAACAAGTAAGATAGCCAACTCCTGCTAACCCTTAGCCTAATTCAAAACTAATCCTGATGATTGGAAAAAGGATCACAAAAGGCTGCAGGATCAGTAAGGCGATCCAAAGTCTTAGAATAGAGTTGGGGTAAACCTACCTGTAATATCTCGATGAGTACTATATTACCCGACGTGCCCTAGAGCTATGTACTGTGAGAGTAACGCGTATGGATACCTCACGTGCCTGTGAAGGTAGTCCGCACGTGCTGTCCCTCGGCTATGACGTATGAACCGGCCATGTTGGCGGCAAAATAAAAGTCTCTCCCCAACGCCTCTGGTTTTGTCTCTAGTCTGAGGGCTAGGTTATAACAATTGGCGACGAGGTATAAACCTGAAGTTTTGCCAAGTTTGGAAGCGCAGTCAAGATGGCATCGTCTGTATACGGGAATCTTGGCGAGTTTAACGAAACAGTCGAAGATTGGAGCCAATATGCGGAGCAAGCCGAGATCTTCTTCGAGGCGAATTCCATAACTGAACGCAAAAGTCAGACCTTGCTGAGATCCGTGGGAGGTAAAACTTATGGATTAATAAGAGACTTACTTCGCCCCGAAAAGCCGACGTCAAAAAGTTTTGAGGAACTTGTGAAATTGTTGAAAGACCATTACAACCCCCAACCGTCGAAGATTGTGCACCGCTACAACTTCAACACGAGCGTACGGAAGCCCAACGAGACCATCAGTGAGTTTGTTGCTGTATTGAGAAAACTGACCGAATTTTGTGATTATGGAGCATTCCTTGACGACATGCTGAGGGACAGATTCGTTTGCGGTATAAACAAACAGAAAATGTTATCCAGGTTACTGTCAGAAGATAATTTGACATTCACCAAAGCCGTTGCCATAGCAACATCAATGGAAGCGGCTGACAAAAATTCTGCTGATCTTCAGAAACAAACTGCAACATCCAGTGACACTGGTATCGTCAACTTTATTACGAAGAAAACAGCCAGGGGAGGTAACTACAGTTCTTCATGTTTTCGTTGTGGCGGAAGACATGACCCTTCAACATGCCGTTTTAAAGATCAGGAATGTTACTCGTGTGGACTTGTTGGACATTTATCACAGAAATGTCTCAACATGGAGGGGAAATGGTCAGAGGAGAGCTTCACATCGAGGTGGGAGACAGAGTCGAGGTCGCCGAGGTAGACATCATAGACAGTACGGAAATAGAGCGAACTACATTCAAGAACATGATTCACAGGAGGATTCTGAGGGATTTGTGGATGTGAGTGAAGCATATGAGATGTTCATGGTTTCTGGTTCAGTGAACAAACCAGTTCAGTACCAGTACAAGTCAACGGTCAAGAGTTGAAGATGGAATTTGACACTGGGGCTGCGGTATCCATTGTGAGTGAAAAGACTTTGTCACATCTTCAACAGGGTGTAGAGATCTTGACTGTGACACCTACGACTAAATCATACCTTGGATACACCGGAAATAAGCTTGATCTTGCGGGACAGGTGATGGTGGAGGTTGATTTTCAAGGAGTGACTGCGAGTCTGCCCCTATTAGTCGCCTGAGGGAACCGTGCTAGTCTGTTTGGACGTAACTGGATTGATGTGTTTGATGTTGATTGGAATATAATCAAACATGTGACTGCTAAGGATTCGCAAAGCAGTTTGAGAACTGTGTTGGATAAGCATCCTGAAGTATTCAAGGATGGTTTGGGTACGTTCAAAGGAACGAAAGCAAAGATATATGTTGACAAGAATGCCCAACCGATCTTCCATAAAGCAAGACCAGTCCCATATGCATTGAAGCAGAAGATTGAACAGGAGCTTGATCGCCTACAGAGTAATGGTACAATAGAAGCTGTAGAGTTTTCTGAATGGGCAGCACCAATAGTACCTGTGGTGAAGTCCGACTCGAGTATAAGAGTCTGTGGTGACTATAAAGTGACTGTGAACAAAGTGTCCAAGTTGGATAAATACCCAATTCCAAAGACAGATGACCTGTTCGCAACATTAGGAGGAGCAAAGTTCTATTCTAAGTTGGACCTAAGTCAAGCTTACCAGCAGGTCTTGTTGGACGAACATTCCAAGCAGTACGTCACAATAAATACACATAAAGGACTCTTTCGGTATAACCGTCTGCCATTTGGTGTGTCGTCAGCTCCTGGTATATTTCAGCACATCATGGAGAATACCCTACAAGGTCTTGAACAAGTTCTGGTCAGGATTGATGATATTCTGATTGGTGGCCGTTTGAGGCATGAACACTTGACACTCTTAGATAAAGTTCTGAGGAGACTAGCGGCAGCAGGTCTGAGAGTTCGTAAGGACAAGTGCAGCTTCATGGCAACAGAAGTTGTGTATCTTGGATACCGTCTGGATAGAGAGGGCACCCATCCAGTCGCTGAAAAGGTCGAGGCCATCAAGGAAGCGTCACCTCCGCGGAATGTGACAGAACTGAAAAGCTATTTGGGTATGCTGAACTATTATGGAAGGTTCATGCCAAACCTTTCCACTGCTCTGGCACCGTTACACAAACTGTTACAGAAAGAAGTACCATGGAAGTGGACAAGCCGACAACAGTCAGCTTTTGAGAAATCCAAGTCACTGCTGTGTTCTGATAAAGTTCTCGTTCATTATGATGCGAAGAAGGAACTGATTCTCTGTTGTGATGCATCGCCCTACAGAGTCGGTGCGGTACTGTCTCATCGTACTGAAGAGGGAGGCGATCGTCCCATTGGATATTCATCACGCTCCCTAAACTCCGCTGAAAAAAACTATTCGCAACTGGAAAAGGAAGGCTTAGCAATGCTCTTTGGTGTGAAGACATTTCATCAGTACCTGGCAGGAAATCATTTCACTATAGAGACTGATCACAAACCATTGTTGGGATTATTTGCTGAGACCAAAGCGATACCAATGATGGCATCAGCACAGATTCAGAGGTGGGCACTAACATTGTCTGCTTATGAGTATGAACTTGTTTACAGACCAGGATCACAGATCGCCAATGCGGATTGTCTGAGCCGACTTCCTGCGAAAGAAAAACCAAGTATTCAAGAAACACCTGTACCTTCGGAATACATCATGCTTCTGGAACTGATGGATACTACACCTGTGACCTCCAAACATATTCGCCAGGATCCTGTGTTGTCAACAGTGTTGAGATATGTGCAGTGTGGATGGCCTAATTTCTGTGAAAACCCAGAAATGAAGGCATACTACTGTCGCCGTGATGAGCTGACAGTACAGGATGGCTGTGTGTTGTGGGGTAACCGTGTAGTGATTCCCCCGCCAGGTCTGGATAGGATTATTCGTGAACTTCATGAGGCACATCCTGGAATCAGTAGGATGGAGGCACTTGCTCGTAGCTATGTGTGGTGGCCTATTATGGATTCAATTCTGGAGTCAACAGTGAAAAAGTGTGAGGTGTGTCAGCAAATGCAGCAGATACCAGCTAAGGCACCCCTACACCCGTGGGAGTGGCCTGAGCGACCATGGTCTCGTGTGCATATTGATTATGCCGGACCATTCCTTGGTCAAATGTTCTTGGTGATTGTGGATGCATATAGTAAATGGATTGATGTTGTTGTTGTGCGCTCAGCTACATCTTCAGCTACAGTGGCAGTTCTTCGTAGAGTGTTCACAACCCATGGATTACCCAAGATGTTAGTGAGTGACAACGGTACCTGTTTCACTAGTGAGGAATTCAAAGCATTCATGGATAAGAATGGTATTCACCATGTGCAGACAGCTCCATATCACCCATCGTCCAACGGTCTCGCTGAAAGGTCAGTGAGGACATTCAAGGAGGGGATGAAGAAGGTACAAGGTCCGGATATTCAGACTCGTCTCGACAGATTCTTGTTCCGATATAGAACAACACCCCAGACAACTACTGGACAAACACCAGCCGAACTTCTGATGAACCGGAGACTACGAACACATCTAGACTTGACGCATCCTTCTGTACAGCAGACAGTAAAGAAGAGTCAATGGAGACAGAAGATTCAACATGACCTACATGTGAAGGACAGAAGTATGAAGGAACATGACACTGTGTATGTTAAGAACTTTGGAAATGGACTGAAATGGTTACCTGGTACAGTCTCGAACAGAACAGGTCCAGTATCGTTTGAGGTAGAACTGTCTGATGGTCGAAATGTGAGGCGCCATGAGGATCATGTGCGTACTCGAGAAACCCAAGTACCCAGAGGCAATACTGACTCTCATTCAGATCAACAGGTAGAATCTACTCTACCAGAGACGCGCGGTGTCGAGATACCTGCTATCAATGACTATCCAGAGAAGGATCACGTGTCAGAGGCGATACAAGATCCTGCTTCAGAGATTATACTATCAACAGACAATAGCAATGTTAAATCTCCCGTTCTGAGTAGATCTTCTAAGAGGACTCGACGTGAACCAAGATATTTTGAGGACTTTGTCAGGAAGTAATTGGTTAATGAGATTGAAGATTGAACTCATATGTTATTTTGGGTTAAGGTAAAGTTTACTTGAACAGTAGAAGTTAACATATTTCTCTTATGGCAGATACCTACTAAATCTAGAGAATGATTTTTGTAGATGGCTTTCTTTGTGTACAAATGTTGAGAAGCACCTTGGCACTTTTAATGTAGATATGTTTGGTTTAGAACTGTTTCCATCTAAAGAGGGAGGAATGTAATATCTTGATGAGTACTATATTACCCGACGTGCCCTAGAGCTATGTACTGTGAGAGTAACGCGTATGGATACCTCACGTGCATGTGAAGGTAGTCCGCACGTGCTGTCACTCGGCTATGACGTATGAACCGGCCATGTTGGCGGCAAAATAAAAGTCTCTCCCCAACGCCTCTGGTTTTGTCTCTAGTCTGAGGGCTAGGTTATAACACTACCTTAACTAGAATAACCAACCCTCAGGATCAAGCCAATTTTCACTAAATTGCTGCAACTGGTAAACTGCAGTCTGGGCACTAAACCGTTGAATATTGCACTCTCCAACAACCCTGGTCTCCACATTGGCCAAACAATGCATTTGCCTCATTAACTCAACAGCTGCTATTTTTCTTTCTCACATAACTATTTTTAAAATGGGCAGTGTGATAGAGGTGATAAAATAATAGATGAAAGGTACCTAAATAGGGAAGTACTGCTCTTTACAAGACGCACATATTCAGTTTTCAAATAATGCAGCGTGGAGGATTGGACTTGTGTGGCCTGCTTGAGAAGCTGTGGAGAATTAGCATCAAACAAGCATGGCAGATAGGTCTCTGATAAAATGCATGTGTACCCAGTGTTCGAAATAGCCGCCTGCCTGCTAGCCTAATGCTGTAAAGCTGTCCCGACTGTATTGTTGAAACTTCTAGTCAATACAATTCCAAAAATCATCACGAAATTTAGGCGTCATTAAATGTCAAAGTCTGTTTTCATTTTGTTTTCATTTCATAGTTTATTGGAAGTGTGATTGTCTAGTAAAATATGATGTGGGCTTGCAACATTTTTTTTCTTAACAAGCTCTCCTGACCATTGAACTTTGGAAAGTATCCATAATTCAAACACTGCGTGTAGTATTGTGTACCCAAAGGGCTAAGGATAGAATTGGGGGTAATTTAAACTACCCTCACCCTAACACAAGTAAGTCTATGGATCGGAAGAGGCACGCGAGGTCAGTGAAGCGAGAGCCACAACAGGCAGCCGGAGGCAATTAGTGCTGCAAGCTGCGCCCGGTAAACTGCAATACTACAGAGGCAGTAACTCGTGTGTGAATACTATAACTGTATTCGAAAAAGCCAAACAATAGTCACTCCCTTTTCGTACACGTCCCACTCAGATAGTTATCTGTCAAACGATGCCATGTTTGTTTTTGAGTGAGGAATGAATTGTCATCTATAGCAAAATACGATGTTTATTCATGGTCAGATATGAAAGTAACAGGCACACTAACCTCCTACAGCGGCATGAATACCAACTTCTATTAGTTCATCAGTCCGACCAGCGTTGCAGAACTTCCGTGCTGTCTACCCAACACATTTTGTGAAAACGTCACTTCCGTTTTGTTTAAAACATTATCGTAACAACTATTAAATATGAATTCATTTCTTAACAACACCCAAACGTTTTTCGCCCGTGAGTGAAACATGTATCTTTGATCTCTCTTTGGAATTACCGATATAATGTATTTACAACACCGAAGAAGACAAACATTTAAAGGGCGTGTGACCTAGTGAAGCCTATGTTAGAAATCTCTCAAAGTGGTTATTGGGTCTGAAACATCGACTATATAGGCGCTGTAATAACATCCTGGCAGGGATTCTGTCTGTAGGAATGACATCAGCACCAACGATGGCTACTACTAAACAATCATGGTATTGTGGATATTACACTTTGATAGTCTGTTAAGATTAAGACGTTTTTATGACATCGAGAAATCGTTTAAGCCACAAGCTTTTCTTATTTTACTTTTCATAATACGGCTTATTGATGAATCGTAATATTGCTATATTTAGATCGGAAGTAAGCAATTGTATGCGCTACCATTTTTGTTTCGTATTTCGAAAACACTTAAAATAATAGCATTTTATTTTGTATTACTGAAGGGGGGAATGTATTTATTCTTTATATCTTGGATTTTAGGCAAACATCATATATTTCATTTTGTTTTACATATTGTCTATGCACAGCGTTTCCAGGTACCTTCGTCACTCTGCCTTCACAGAATACAGAATTAGAACTCCATATCTTGTGTCTCTTTGAATTTACAGCTTCTAAATGTTTATCAAAGACATGTCCTGACTTCAATAACATGTAATTAACTACTTTGTCGCCAATTATCCCCATCAGTTTATAAACTGCTGGGCAAAAGAAAATATACACCCATGTTTGATGGTGGCTAAAAGTCAAACAAACAGGAAATGTTTTTTCAATGATGTATTTGATACGGGTACCATAGGCGATGTTACAAGCATCACCTCAATGAGTATCTTACAATAGGTGACGTGCACATGACGTCTGGAGGAACAAGGGACATATCAACATGACTATGTATACGAAATATTTGACGTAATGCAATATCGTGCAGTGCATAAGCGTCGACGATATTACTCAGCGTTAAAATTGGCACTAGTCCTATAGTCCTTGCCAAACTGCCAAATAGTTAGGGTATCATAAGGATTAGTAGACTAACATATAGTCTCTGAAGTGAACATATCATACAGAAAAAACCGGTTGTTCAGTTATCTTAATAAAAATCTAATAAAAAGGGAGCCCAGTGATTCTCTTCATTTTCAGATACTGATACTGCAGTAATCTAGACTTGCCAAACATTATAGACTTGCATGGGCTGTAGTTGATATAAATGTATCAGGGTCTGTAAGACAGACTAAAGGATTAGTAGAAATTTGCTTTTTTAAGGGGTTTGCTATATGGTATCATTATAAGAACTAGTTGACTGAAACTGTTAGTTTCTAACGCTGTGTAGGTGCGACCACCAGCCACACGACTCAGTCGTTATACTTTAGGCTGAGAAAATATTGATAATACGAGTAGGTTAGAATATTTCAACCTTGAATAATGTTTCTACCCGTAGAGTTGGATACGGTGTGATTTTCACCCGTAAACGAGTCTCTGAAATCGCTTGCCCTTTGGCCAAATACTTCTGTTTGGGGCTGTATATACGACGGGGAAATGTTTGTGAGGTATATGGTGAATAATCTCCAGGGGCGAAACGACCATTGTAGGAGAAAAGCAATTGCTTACACCTACTAAAAAAGCATAATTTTTTACACCTTAAAAAGCACATTTTTTCATAACTAAACCTTTATTTACCAGCTATACAGTAAAGTATTAATTCAAATTCTACACGGTTGAACGTGATATTTATTGTCTAACTTGAAAATCGGAATCTTCACGCACTTTAGGAATTTAGTGCAAGTAGATGGTTTGTGACGTAAGTAAACCGCGCTCTCACATTTATTTTCATTATAATGACAGGTTGGCTCGCGATAAAATATAACACATAAAAAACCCATCACATACTACGAATGAAAACATGTAAAACACATAAAAGCAATATTATCGATTCGTTTTAATGTTCAAATTGCATTTGTCATCATGGATGTTTCTTGAATGAAAGTCACTGTATATATATTGCGCACTATGTTTCCACAATGTGAAGCTTCAACTGTAAATTGTTCATTTTCATTATGCAATTTTATGTATAACTGTATATAGGGAGAAGGTGGTAATAAGTGCTGCACTTGTGTCCAATCCCTTTGTCTTTTTGGACAATAAAATATGTTTAATAATGATAATGAAAGTCATAAATATGTTGGTGAAACACCTATATATATACTACTAATACAAATATAACAAAATATATTATTAATATTTGTTAAAATAAAATTAAAAAAAACGGTCCAAAAAATGCATTCTGTGTGTATATGTGGTGTGGGTGGGTGGGATGGGGGGGTTGTGTGTGTGTGTGTGTGTGTGTGTGTGTGTGTGTGTGTGTGTGTGTGTGTGTGTGTGTGTGTGTGTGTGTGTGTGTGTGTGTGTGTGTGTGTGTGGGATGGGTGTGTGTGTGTGTGTGTGTGTGTGTGTGTGTGTGTGTGTGTGTGTGTGTGGGATGGGTGGTGGTGTGTGTGTGTGTGTTTGTATGTGTGTGTGTATGTGGTGTGGGATGGGGGGTGTGTGTGTGTGTGTGTGGGGTGTGTGTGTATGGGTGTGTGTGTGATGGGGGTGGTGTGTGTGTGTGTGTGTGTGTGTGTGTGATGGGGGTGGTGTGTGTGTGTGTGTGTTGTGTTGTGTGTGTGTGTATGTGGGTGGGTGGGATGGGTGTGTGTGTGTGTGTATGTGGTGTGGGTGGGTGAGGTCAGGTGAAATTGGGTTTAACGTCGCGTCCAAGATTATTGCACTTATATAGCGACGTGCATGCACGTGTATGTGTGTGTGTGGCTGCTTGTACTAGTCCGGACTAATGCCGATTTATAGTGCTAGCTCACTGAGATACCATGCCGCAGTTTAACATGAATACCCCACTCAGACACAGTATACTGACTCCGAGCCGACCAGTCCTTGTTTTAGCCCCTTAATGCCGAGCGCCAAACAGGGAAACAACAAGTACAATCTTTTAACGTCTTTTTGTATGACGCGGCCCGGGATCGAACCCTGGACCTTCCGCTCTCCGGGCGGACGCTCTACCACAAGACCACGGAGGCGGTCTGTGGGTGGGTGGGTGGGATGGATGTGTGTGTGTGTGTGTTGTGTGTGTGTCTGTGTGTGTATTTGTGGTGTGTGTGTGTTGTGTGTGTGTTGTGTGTGTGTGTGTGTGTGTGTGTGTGTGTGTTGTGTGTGTGTGTGTGTCTGTGTGTGTATTTGTGGTGTGTGTGTGTTGTGTGTGTGTTGTGTGTGTGTGTGTGTGTGTGTGTGTGTGTGTGTGTGTGTGTGTTGTGCGTGTGTGTGTGTGTGTTGTGCGTGTGTGTGTGTGTGTGTGTGTGTGTGTGTGTGTGTGTGTGTGTGTGTGTGTGTGTGTGTGTGTGTAGTGGATCAGAATGGGCTTCATACATTGTACCCACGTGAGGAATAGAACCTGTGTCTTCGGCGTGACGAGCGGACAATTTTAACCACTTGTCTTTCAAAGTTTTTTATTCACTTCACTTTAACCACTTACTACTGCGACATCATCCACAGACATTATGCAAAATGAAACTAACATAATGTTTGTCTTGAAATAATTAGTTGAGACTAGATATTTGTTCGGCTGTGCATTGTAGAGAACAAAATACATATGTTGAAAAAATGACTGTCTCCACCATCATGACATGCTTACTTAGTTATATTTATTTCTTCATACCGTATAAACACAGGATGAAGATACGTTGCTGTTTTTCCCTGGTAAAATGTCATCTTGTGAAAATTCTGTTTCCGACAATTTTTTGCCGTTTTCGCTTGGTGAGGTTTTTACGCGGTGCCCTTTTAGCTATAACTTTGACAAGTATATTTATGTACGTAGTAAGAGTTCAAACTTAAGGTTTGTTCAAATGTTTTATGTACAGCCGGCGGCCGTATACGACTTCATCATTTGGCATTTTACCAGACCATTTGGCTTGCCATAGTTGTTAGGAATGCAGTTACTTGTGTATGTGTGAAACGTCATAAGTTTATGTGTATACAATTTGAAGCAATCACATGGCGAAACAGTTGTCATTTACAGACCAAAACAATAATACCGGCCAACAATCATGTACCAGACATGCCATGATGTGTTAAATGAAGTACAATGGACACTCTAGATTTCCCACCTGTACCAAACTCGGACGACCAGGGGCTGGTAGGTCTGTTTCCTTTATCTTCAGCAAAGACTCGGTAATCTGACTCCGAGCAGGTTAATGGGTAGAAAGAATGATGTTCATTGCTTTCGTTTTTATGCTGTTTGGCTATTTTGGATACACTTCTTAACACGTTGGGCAATGTCTTATCATGGAATTTTGGGGGATATGCCAGTTTACCAAGAGAGCCAACTGATAATCACTTTTTCATTGATATAATTCTTATAGAATCAAGGATTGAACATGCTTGTGAAGCATTGTGTTGACCATGAACGAAGAGTCTTCAAGCATCTTTTTCATTTGTCTAGTCGCAGGCAAATAAGATTTGTGATGACAAGGACCCTTGTCCTGTTAGTCATGAAAGTAAAGAGCGTTGTATTTATTACTAGACACTCAACATGCTCAAAGATTTGCCACACAAACTTTAACATTTATTAATCCACACAGACACAGTTTCACGAAAGACACACTATACACTTATTTTACACAAATAGGCTACTTGCCTTTTCCAACATGTATGAATATTACATATGTCTGAGACACACACACTAGACGTATGATACACTTATGCTTATTAGTCGATCAGACTGACACATACACGTATGTATTAGTGTGGCCAATTTGCATGCAGTCCTATCAAGTTTCATTAAAGTCGTCTTTGATATGTATTTAGAAGTTGGAAGAATATGAATACATGACATTTTTTATGGATAGCAACTTCATTTATTCTTCGTCACAACGTTTCAGAGCTACTTCCTGCTTCTTCATCAGCATTCACCAGATGAAGGAGCAAGAAGGAGCTCTGAAATGTTGTACCAAAGAATAAAAGAAGTTGCTATCCATAAAAAGTGTCATGTCTTCATTAAAGTCATTTAAACAAAATTGGCAATAATCAATGCCATTTGAGTATAATGAAACATTATTATCTAACCAACTGATCCTCACTTTAGTGGGCAAAAGCATGTTTTGTCGTGTATGTAGGACCTATGGAAGATTCTCACTCTCACTGACGATGACTGCATCACTGGGATGACCATTTTTTACCATGTCAACTGAATCTACTTGTTTTCATTCAGGACTGGGCGTACATCATGCGGAGAGAGATGCAGGTAAGCTTCATGTCACATCACATGTGAAGTTCCAGCACAGGGTGCACACCTTTTTGCCCCACACTATACATGCGCACCTGTGAAGATTCCGGGGTAGAATGGGTCTTCAGCAACCCATGCTCGCCGTAAAAGGTGACTATGCTTGTTGTAAAAGGCGACTAACGGGATCGGGTGGTCAGGCTCACTGACTTGGTTGATGCATGCTATCGATCCCAATTGCGTGGATCGATGCTCATGATATCAATCACTGGATTGTCTGGTCCAGACTCGATTATTTTACAGACTGCCGTCAAATAGCTGGAATATTGCTTGGTGCGGCGTTAAACAACAAACCAACCAACATGCTAAACACGATGTATTGGGAAGTTTTACAGGTAGTCATGTGGACTAGCATGTTAAGTGTAACATGTTACAGCACTATAACTACTAGTATCTCAATTTAGTTATACATTGTATACTTTCAACAATATTACAGGACTACCCAACACCAATTGGCAAATTAAAAACCAAACACAAATTTGAAAATTTAAAAATGTGAGTGAGTGTTCTTGTTTTGAGCTGTATACAATAGCAGCTTTAGCAGATGTTTTTTTCTCATGGCTTATCCTTTAGATTAGACATCCAGTCATTAATCATGCTAATACCAAGTGGATGTTATGTAATTTGATTAATCAATTTGATCAGATAAACCACAAACAAACAAAGAATTTAGTCCTTAACCTGCTGAACAAAGATGTTGATGCTCATTTTGTGTTACCATGGTTATGCTTTGTGAATGCTGTGGTAATTTCTCTTCAGGAGATAATCCCAGGCTTGTTTCTCGGTCCGTATGGTGCTGCTGCCAAATCCAAGGTAAACAACAGTTGGTCTCTGTTGATAATGTCTTGCCTTCATTTTGTCGGGGCGGTAGGGTAGCCTAGTGGTTAACACGTTCACTCGTCCCACAGAAGGCCCGGGTTCAATTTCCCACATGGGTACAATGTGTGAAGCCCATTTCTGGTGTCCCCTGCCATGATATTGCTGGAATATTGATAAAAGCAGTGTACAAACATCCTCGGACAACACTCTCATTCAGGGACCTTATACCGATTAATCTCTGCTCTCATTATTTTGCAATTAAAAAAAAATTAAAAAATTTACAACTTACCCACACTGTCCTTGTGAGAAATGTCCGTCTTCCTGACTACCCACACAACTTCATGGAAGATAAGGTGCAAACATTTTGAGCATCACAATTTTTTTTTTTTTTATAATTTTTTTTGACCAAGTAAAGCTAATTGATCAGCAATACTGTGTAGAGTGTGGCCTAACGCTAGACAAACTTGCTTCCCTTTCAGTTTCCCCTGCTCCAGGGCCTCGGGATCACACACGTTGTGTGCATCCGCCAGACCAACGAGGCCCGCTTCATCAAGCCCAACTTCCCAGACCACATGAGGTGGGCATCCTTTGCTTTCCCACAACACTTCTTGTTACACATTGTCATGTTCCTATGAGGGAGTGAGTGAATGTATATCATGGCAGTCTGTAAATAATCAAATCTGGACCAGTCAGCTGGTGATTGAATGCATGAGTAATAATCCACACCATCAGATGACGGTGACATACAATCAACAAAGTCATAGATCCAGGCCATCTCCACTCCCCATTATTGACAACCGTCTCCATGGTCTAGTGGTAGAGTGTCCGCCCTGAGAGCTGAAGGTCCTGGGTTTGATCGCCAGCTGCGTCATACCAAAAGATGTTAAAAGATGGTACTTGTTGTTTCCCTGTTTGGCACTTGGCTTTAAGGGGCCAAAAGAAGTCTTGGTCGGCTTGGAGTCAGTATACTGTGTCTGAGTGGGGTATTCATGTTAAACTGCGGCATGGTATCTCAGTGAGCTAGCACTATAAATCATCATCAGTCTGGACTAGTACAAGCAGCCACACACACACACAGGTGCAAGCAGGTGGTTTTATGAGTGCAGTAATCTTGGATGCGACATTAAACCCCATTTCACCACGCCTTTGCCCCATTATTGTCACTTTTCACAAGCTTTATGTTCTGATTCCCCACAGAGTAAGATGTGGAAAGAATGGACTTTTAATGTAATTGAGCTTTTTGTATTTAACATGAAATAGAAAGTGAAAGTACTGGTACACAAGAACATGGTGCTTATCATGTCTGTGATTGTATGTTTGGTTGTCACATGTGTTCATGGGCCCTCTCTGTTACAGGTATCTGGTGTTAGACATAGCAGACACAGTGACAGAGAATATCATCTGCCATTTTGGAAAGGTATGCATGTTACTGTAACCATGGTAACAAGACAAGTCTTAGTCATGGTTCCCAAATGTGTGTTTGCTGGGTGTGAGCAGTCCAGTGATCTGATCTAGAGTGCCACGTTTAGCTGTGCAGAGTTGTGTCCCTGAGTAATACAAGGATCCGCTGATCATGGGTTCATATCTCAGACTGGCTCCTTGTATGGCCTGTGCTTTGTCAGCACCATACCTGTAGGTTTCACCTAACTGGTAACCATCTATGACCTGCATCACTTGCAGTTTCCTCCACATGAAGCTGACATGCCCTGGTATAATACAACTGAAGTACCGTTCAACTCACTCACTGTAGTAGACCAATGACTGCATGCTGCGTGTCCTCAGTGAGGGTGAGCGGTGTTACTGGTATATGCAGTTTTCTCCACATGAAGCTGACATGCCCTGGTATAATACAACTGAAGTACCGTTCAGCTCACTCACTGTAGTAGACCAATGACTGCATGCTATGTGTCCTCAGTGAGGGTGAGCGGTGTTACTGGTATATGCAGTTTTCTCCACATGAAGCTGACATGCCCTGGTATAATACAACTGAAGTACCGTTCAACTCATTCACTGTAGTAGACCAATGACTGCATGCTATGTGTCCTCAGTGAGGGTGAGCGGTGTTATCGGTATATCGGTAAACTGAGGTTCATTCTTTCCATGATGCGTATCACAGTATCATGTTTCAATGCCCGCTATATCAGGTTATTTCAAATTGCGATTATTATCATGTGTTTAATGTTATACACTTGCCAAATACATGTACCCTCGAAAAGTTTCCATAATTCCAAAATGCAAGTTCACATTCTGGAGTTTTCCTGTGGCAGTGGTGTAACCCCAAGTCATCACTGTCCTGGAGCGTGCATCCGTGTGTATTTATTGAATGAGTAAACATTATGCTGTACCAGCATCTTGTTTTGTTCCATTTATGAACTTCAATTCCTGCATTGATGTTTTTAAATTGCTTCTGAATTCAAAAGTTTGAATCACACAGTATATTGTGATGTGTATCGCAATACAGCCTTGTGCATCAGAAAATATGGGGATACACTTCAATCTCATTAAAATCAGATCTAAGTTCTCTGTGCCGCTAAACAAAGATCTGAGGACATCCCATTACCGGTCCATTCAGAACGGCCTTTCATGAACTTTGACCGACCACTGAAATGACTAACAAGAAGTGGACATCAGTTAGAAAGCAGCTTTCTCGAGCTTTACGGCACTCGTTTCAACCTGGCGACTTTCACCTCAAACTACGCTTGAAAAATATGTTGACACAGTTCTCAATTAAAATTTTGAAAACTGAACAAACGAACATTCTGGAATGTCTAATATATGGCTGAGATTGTATGGCAGTCTTTCCCACAAACTGTGCAACGCCTCCTCCATTCAAATGTTTATCCCACGGAAGCAAGAGATAGACGATAATTTTGTCGGAATCAGTCGTACGGGCCATAATTGTCGTTCGGAATACACCGTGTTAACGTTTTCGAGGTTGCATGATTGGCCAACACATTCCAACTGTCACTTTCGTGATCTGGTAAGCGACGCTTTGATTGTTAAGGTGAAAGGTCAGTCTGACGTGACCTGTAATGGGATGTCCTTAGATCTTTGTTTAGCGATAGCGAGAACTAAGATCTGATTTTGATGAGATTGGGATACACTTTTAACATCCAACACCCATCCCTGGAACCTGTTCCACAAAGTGATCTTAGCGCTAAATTGTTCGTAACTCCCATACTTTATCATAGGCTTACAATCAACGTAGCACTGAGATCGCTTTGTGGAACATGGTCCTCAATACTCTGATGTCAAGTGTTGAATCCAACCATCCATTGATAAACTAGTATAGCATGACCCTTAAACAACGCAGTACAGGGTGACCCTTATACAACCCGGGACAGGGTGACCCTTATACAACCTGGTACAGGGTGACCCTTATACAACCCGGTACAGGGTGACCCTTATACAACCCGGTACAGGGTGACCCTTATACAACCCAGTACAGGTTGACCCTTATACAACCCGGTACAGGGTGACCCTTATACAACCCGGTACAGGGTGACCCTTATACAACCCAGTACAGGTTGACCCTTATACAACCCGGTACAGGGTGACCCTTATACAACCCAGTACAGGGTGACCCTTATACAACCTGGTACAGGGTGACCCTTATACAACCCGGTACAGGTTGACCCTTATACAACCCGGTACAGGGTGACCCTTATACAACCCAGTACAGGGTGACCCTTATACAACCTGGTACAGGGTGACCCTTATACAACCCAGTACAGGGTGACCCTTATACAACCCAGTACAGGGTGACCCTTATACAACCCGGTACAGGGTGACCCTTATACAACCCGGTACAGGGTGACCCTTTTACAACCAAGTACAGGGTGACTCGGTACAAGTCCTACACAGCGACAGGGCAACCTGGTACAGGGTGACTCGGTACAAGTCCTACACAGCGAGAGGGCAGCAGGGTCACTGGTAGTGTTTGCATGTTGCAGGTGAAGTGTTTTCTGGACGAATGTTTCTCATACGGAGGCAAGGCGTTGGTTCATGGCAATGCAGGCATATCTCGGAGTGGGGCCTTGGTCATCGCCTTCGTCATGGAGAAGTACGGGCTGACGTACCGGTGAGCAGCAACAATCAGGTTTTCCCATGCTTGTATTTAGACAAGGTGGGTACTTTACAGAATTAAGGGAAAATTTCAGTTTAATTTACATCAGATCATTTACTTGATACATGTGATACTTGTCTGTGTCAAGAGCTGAAGACACCTCCATAGGAGGTTGTGTGTGGTTAACTTTCTGATTAGTCAATCAGCGTGAAGGCTTTCAAATTCTCGGTATGAGTGAGGGAAGCATTTAAACCACCATATCTGATCTCTGTATCTCAAAAAGGAACTAAAATGTCAAGTTCTGAAAGTACAGCTGCACCATTATATTGTTGTGGATATTTTATACATCCTATCGTTTTCTGTGTGCCGTGACATCGACCCCTAAAATGGAGTTCCATCAGGGAGTTAATTGTGTTCTGTTTTCATTTGTAGAATCTTTTTAAAAGTCTTGATTGGCTAGGATTTGGAATTTTTAAGAGTCTTTCTTTGCCAATATTAGTTTTATTGTAGAACCTTCTTTGTGATAAGCATCTTCCTACATTGTTTCAGAGATGCCTTTGTCTATGTCCAACAACGCAGATTTTGTATCAACCCAAATGAAGGTTTTGCTCAACAGCTCATGGTGAGTCAGTTGATCTGTGTACTTGTGCCCCAACACGGCACTAGCATGTAGTATTATCTGTACAACTGTTTGTGGTGTTGCCGGAGTATGATCCTCCCAACACTGCACTAGCATGTAGTATTATCTGTACAACTGTTTGTGGTGTTGCAGGAGTATGAGCTATCTAACATGGCACTAGCATATAGTATTATCTGTACAACTGTTTGTGGTGTTGCCGGTGTATGATCCTCCTAACACGGCACTAGCATGTAGTATTATCTGTACAACTATTTGTGGTGTTGCAGGAGTATGAGCTATCTAACATGGCACTAGCTTGTAATATTTTCTGTACAACTGTTTGTGGTGTTGCAGGAGTATGAGCTATCTAACATGGCACTGGCTTGTAGTATTATCTGTACAACTGTTTGTGGTGTTGCAGGAGTATAACACATCTAACACGGCACTAGCATGAAGTATTATCTGTACAACTGTTTGTGGTGTTGCCGGAGTATAACACATCTAACACAGCACTAGCATGTAGTATTATCTGTACAACTGTTTGTGGTGTTGCAGGAGTATGAGCCTCCTGACATGGCACTAACATGTAGTATTTTCTGTACAACTGTTTGTGGTGTTGTAGGAATATAACACATCTAACATGGCGCTAGCATGTAGTATTATCTGTACAACTGTTTGTGGTGTTGCAGGAATATGAGCCTTCTAACACGGCACTAGCATGTAATATTATCACTGATTATCTGTACAACTGTTTGTGGTGCTGCAGGAGTATAACACATCTAACACGGCACTAACATGTAGTATTATCTGTACAACTGTTTGTGGTGTTGCAGGAGTATAACACATCTAACACAGCACTAACATGTTGTATTATCTGTACAACTGTTTGTGGTGTTGTAGGAATATAACACATCTAACATGGCCCTAGCATTAAGTATTATCTGTACAACTGTTTGTGGTGTTGCAGGAATATGAGCCTTCTAACACGGCACTAGCATGTAATATTATCTGTACAACTGTTTGTGGTGTTGCAGGAGTATGATCCTTCTAACATGGCACTAGCATGTAATATTATCTGTACAACTGTTTGTGGTGTTGCAGGAGTATGAGCCCATCTACCGCGCCCGCCTCAGTGCTAGCAGCAGCTCTACAGACACAGGTGGGTCATGGAGGTGTATCATCCTTCGACTGGACATTAAAAAATTGACAATATATTTTACCGGGATATCATTGTTGAAGAAAAAAATTAACTCTAGATTGTTGTCTTCTTTTTCTTTTCTCTTTTTCCACCCATTGACTATGAATATTAACGAAAAATATTTGTAAACCTGCTTATGAAATTTGAAATTTAAACCTTGCATTGATAGGTTCATCATACTCACATGACTGATGTGTGCATTGCACTTCTGATCTTAAAATATTTGAATGTATTTGTCTCAATACTACTTCCATGGTAATTCGAGGGCAGTTTTGTCTCTGTCTGTAGCAAAACATGTCTTAATTAGGTGTCTAAAATAAAGATGTCAGTGTGTCTTCAGATTTGATGGCATAGGTTGTTAGATACTGAACTGCTACTTCGCCTGGCGAGGCTTGCAAATCTGGAAAGGTTTGCGAATGGGAAAGTACTGCAAAAAGTACAGCAATAGTTTCTTAACAACAACAACAAACATTAAATGTAAGGCAGCATTTTTCTATTATTCACTTCCAGACATTGTCAGACAAGCCAGTGCTTGATTAAAAACATAACCCCTCACATCTGGTGTTTCTTGAATTATACATTGTTTTTTAGTGTCAGTCGTCTAATCATGAAAGTTCACTAACCTGCCACATCTCGTCAAATTGCTTTCATGACACTGAGGAGAAATCCAGACATACGCCAGCCAGTCTGCTCTGTTAGATCAACACACTACTGCAACCACCCTTGTCAACTACAGCAACACATGCATCTAAATCATAGGTTTCTGGCGTGCTCAAGGGACGCAACTCTGCACAGCGAGCACACCCGGGCATGCCAGAAACCTGTGATTGTGGGTTGGAATCCCGAATCACCCCGGTTATTTTTCTAGGTTTGTCAGTACCTTACCCGTGCTTGTTGGTTTCACCAAGGCGGTAAACGTCTGAGACCTGCATCACTTCGGACTCTCAACCCACATTGAGCTAACACGGCATGATAGAAGTGGAATACTGTTCAAAGCGGCGTTAAACCAACTCACTATAATGAAGTTGTGTTGATGTTTACTAAATGCGTGCTCCATACACAGCTTTGTAATATCAGTTAGTGTGAGGGTTTTTCTGTAGGCTGTTAACCATTGTTGTGGGATCTTTCAGGTTTATTGAAACGGAAAACCAGACATGATGAGGACGAGGAGGATGTGATTCACAGCCGTCCCTGCATGACGTGAGGACCATGTTTTCCTCGGGTCACCAACAGTGAGGCGTCGCCCCATGAGGACCATGTTCTCCATGGGGGCCAGACATCATGGCCTCATCACATGGGCAGACGTGTTGGAAGATGTGCTTGGCGTGAGCTGATGAGTGACTTCTATGGATGGACCGTTTCCACGTATTACACTGAATGTGCCAACTGTTTACTTAGCAACAACCATGTGCAGGGTTCCCACAGACTCATTCAGGGAAATATAAGGCATAAGTCGTGACATTGTTCGGGAATTTCTAAGGAAGGAAAGATATTGAATTAGCAGTCAGGGAAGTTTGGTATGATATGGTAAGCTGATCTCATATTTTACTGCTTACCTGGTTGTACTCATTAGTGTTTTCGTATCGGATCTGTTTAACAGCTTCTGTTTAGATGGGAGTGGTTTTATGTAGTGACGGAGCTGTTGGCTTACATGCCTTGGACATAGCTTAGCTATTATTTGTTCCCCTTTGCACGGACAATGTGGTCACTGATGGTAGGTAATGGAGTGAGTTCAATTTTTACTTCACATCAGCTGTTTCAACCACATAGCGAGGTTGCTGATGGAATTTTCTCGGATGATTTGGTAAAAAAACTGTGGAGACCCTGTATATGTTAGGCTAACAAAAGACAGTTCATTTCTGACAGGTGCAACAGATGCAGTGTCATATACAGAAACAAAATATACTACTCAACTTGTGATGGGGACAATCAGATATGTCATTCTATTTAAATATACACTTGACATGAGGATAAGGGGTCCGTTCCACAAAGCGATCGTAACGCTAAGGTGATCGTAACTCCTATACTTTAACACAGACTTACGACAGTCGTAGCCCTACGATTGTTTTGTGGAATGCGGCCCAGTTTTGTGTAGCATTGAAAGATACAAACATCCCTATCAAAAGTAGAGTAGCACATTTTGTTTCTGCTCTTTTCTTTACCAACATTTAGAATTCTTCCTCTCGGTAATCCAATTTTAAGAGACACCACACCAGAGTTTCAGTGTTTTTGCTGTAGAATCAGTGTCAGCCAACCTGGGACGGAGTCGGATATGTTACGGCTGTAAGAGGTCACCTAGTGGCAACAATGTGACCATAATAGCAAAGATCTGACTGTCAACAAGTGCTGCGGTCGTGGGTCTGGATCATTGGGGTGATCACTGAGGCAGTCAGAGTCCCCTTGAGTACAGAAGCCATTATTGTAATTCTCATCCAGAAGAGATTGCACCTTCCAGCATCTTGTTGGAGGTGAAAGGTTTTCAGTGTAATCTGGTTTTGCAGTTGACCGTCAGTATTTCCTTGTTGGTTCTGTTTATGGAACTTGCTGCTGCTGGTTATTTCAATTATTTTACCAGCTTTAAGCCAATGAAATGTTTCTGAGAATGTATTGATGATTTGTTTTAGTCCTGCGTTTGAGGACATGCAATGAATTAATGACTTAGTGATGAAGTTGAACACGGTTGTTACACAGATGTACATCTACTGTTACTTCTGGAAAATATGTTTTTGATGCTGACTACAGCATAATGTATGTTATTTTGGATGGATCCTTGCAACGCATGTCTGTTACTACAGGTATGGTTGAATTCCCCACAGCTTTCACGAATACTGGTGGTATTCATTATAGTTATCAGTAGTGGGGAGGAAGGTTCATATGCTGTGTTTCAGTATGTCAGTACATCAATATACATCATTGGAAGTCAATGGGTACACCAGTATGTTGTCAGTGTGAGTGATCAGGAGGGTGTTTGGTAGCCTTACGAGGATATGGAGTGAGTGAGGTCATGAACCCTTGAGAGCATGTCTGTAATTATCATCTTGGGCTCTGACTAATTAGGATTGCGTGGTAACGTTATGTGACGTGGCTGATTGTAAGTCATTGTACCCAATGACATGGATCATTGCCCATGCTGTTCACCCTTGGCTTCTCCACCCCAAGTCTGTGAGTTCCATGTGTAAGTAGACGTGGACACAGGTTTTTATGAGCCAAATGACTTACACAAATGTTCAAATTGTAAATTTCCATACAGCTTGCTATTGACACAAGTTCATAAGTAATAAAGACATATTTTCAGTGAACTGTTTGTGCCAGTTAGTCAATCGTGTTGAGCCAGCTGCCTGTCAGTGTGGCCAATAGCCTGGCTATATACGAGTAATAACGTTATTTACAGTTTGCGATGATGTGGCTGCAACGTTGCTGACTGCGGCGTACGAGTTACCAACTCATTGTTATTAGTATCATTATATTTTGATAAAGATAACCTTGCCAATATGTGTCATGTACATTGCCTGAGATAATGCTAATGTTTGCATATGTTTTTTATATGAAGAATCGAAATCCCAGATTTGCCCTGGTTGAGCCTTAGTGGATTCTAGTTGGTTTACTAGACTGACCAACCCCAAAATACTGAAATTAGGACTTTGGACCGTTATGCATTTTTTTTTAAGGGTGGTGGACTCAATTACAGTTAGATGACATGAAAACCTCCAGAGATTTTATCATCGTAAGAAATGGTAAATAAAATGTTTAAAAGCTATATTCTAACAAAACAGCAACAACAATCAATTATCTTTTGGGGTCTTGTCATGTTAAACCTTGTGTGTTTTTCATTAATTAGTAGCAGTACAAATGGGGAAGATACATTTTTACAACATTGAATTTTAGGCCAAAAATATTGTAATCCAACTGATAAAAAGTAAAACACCTGACATTGCAAGGTTTGTCAGCACCATCCACATGCCCGTGGGTTTCACCAAAGTGATCACGTTGACCCTGCAGGGAGCAGAGGATGGGGGATGGATAAGTCTTTTGTTACTCCCCTTTGAAAAGAATTCCAGTCATATCACAGCATGTTAGCTTCATGTTGGAGGAAAGCCTGAAGTGATGCAGGTCTCAGATGTTTACAACTTTGGTGAAACCCACAAGCATAGGTATGGCCATGACAAACATAATCACCACCAATCTGGACTAAACCCCATCACCTATGTTCTATCAAATTAATCAAATAGATTGCGTACATGAGTCCAGATATACAATATTGATGGTGTAACAACAGGATTAACTTGCGTTATTCAAAACAGACTTGTTAAAGTTCTATTTCTGATGACTGATCATGACGAGGCATAGTTTTAGGTTGGGGGTCCGGCTTATCTACCGCACATAACATTTTGGTACAGATTTCAAGGACCAAGTTAATACCTCGGCTTATGAGATCGGCTTATCTACGGTCATATATTGTACTGTGCCCTCAGCAAAGAATGAACTTTTGTCATGTCCTGCCATAGTAAAGGCTTCATTCACAACATGTCTGCTGTTAGACCTTCCCTTCACTGATCATGAACTGCTTCCGTTGAGGTTCCAGCTTTTCTGGTTTCATGTAGCCTGGCATTGTTGTTGTCTCTTGTATCTCCATAGTGATGGTTCCGAGGGTGGAGAGTCGGGAGGACCAGGAATACATCTTCACCCACAAACATAATAAATTATTTTGTGATACCTTTTAAGAATTTGTCTTGTTTCAAATTTGTTGACAATTATTTTGTAAAGCCGTTTTGCATCCTCAATTATCCATTGTAGTGCATGTATACTGAAACACATTGGAAACACATAATCAACTTCAAGTCAAAATGAATGACAAAACGATTTTGGCAGTACATCTTGACACATCAAATGAGAGTCGAACCTGTAGGAGGACATGCCAAAATATCCAGGGTGGTGGGGTAGTCTAGTGGTTAAAGCGTTCGCTCGTCAAGCCGAAGACCCAGGTTAGATTCCCCACATGGGTACAATGTATGAAGCCTATTTCTGGTGTCCCCTGTGATGTTGCTGGAATATTGCTAAAAGCGGCGTAAAACCATACTCACTTACTCCATAAATACCCAGATCAACTTAAATGCATTGTAGCTGCCATTTTGCCAAATATTACATGAATATGCGTTTTCAAAGTGTGTCAGTATATATATCAATTTTGTTTTGATAAATACCGTGGCCCCATCTGCCATCATAGGCCAAGTGTGGGTTACTTGTATTATTCCACGCCGGAACCCTCCTTGGTGGGCCATGTATAGAAGACAGACAACATGCACATCTGAATGTGAACTTTATTATAAAACCAGGACAACTGGTTGTGTACAGTGAGTGACAAGGCACAGTATGGTATCGACAGTGGTGACCAGAGATAGGTGTACCAGTACACACCTGCACAGGATTCTACAAGTGGAAATGTCTGGATCAGCATATCCTTTCAGCAGTGCCCATGACCACAAATACAGCTCCGAACATTTCTGTACACACGTCTGCCACGGACTGAAGTCCATGCAAAAGGAGAATAATGATAGCTAGATGTGTACTACCTCCTGTCTAGCTGTTTCTTACAGTGGCAACATGGTGGGCATGGTTAACATGTAAACTTGTGCTCTAGAGAATCGTCCACTGGGCTACTTACTGATGCAAATTTGTGTCTTAATTATTGACGCTCTTGCAATTAATTTTATCAAAATTAACTCAGAAGGGAAATATCAAGATCTCCATTATTCTATATACATTATTTTGAAAGAATCAGATGTTCTTTAACTTCTTTTGAGAAGTATTTCTTCCGTCTTTTTGTTAGAGTTCAAAATGTGTGTTTATCAGACAACTTAATGTGCTATGAAGTCAAATAAATTGAACTTCAATATTATCAAGAGAAATCAACATTGATGAAAACTGACAAGGAATAACAAAACCTGATTCAAGTGGCTATTTGGTTAGTAATATGACGCTGAATAATGTGATATCAATCAGTTGTACAAAACAAGATCTGGGAAATGTGACTATCAATACTTGGAATAAGCACAACAAAATAGAATAAAGCACTCTTCACCAAAAGAGGTAGAAGATCTGTCGTCTACGTAGCTATACTCTACACAACCACAATGGCATCCACAGAGAGCTCGCTGATAACGTTGAAAAATAACAACATTGCTTAATACCAATAGTGGCCTTTATCGAGGGGGAGGGGGATTGGTCTTAGGACTAGCACATTTTGCCCCCACTAATGTTCAAATTTATAAAAATGTATATTTATTTGGAAAATAGAACTGTGTCATGTTTTCAATTTTCCTCCTACAGAACCTCATGCTGTAGTAAATGACAGCATTTACTACACATGGTATACTTACATTCCTACAATCATTAATATCTTGGCTGTAACATGTTGCCAGGATCTAAGAGAATATTGGATGGTTTAATCTGTAACACTTCGAGTCAATAAGTGACCAGTCATTTATTATGGGGGGAGGGGGGGCCAAAGAGAATCAAGGGAGGGTCGCCAAAAAATATTACAGTCTCTAGGGGAGAGTCATAAAAAATAATACACATATTTAGGGAGGGTTATGTAAAATGAACATTTTATAATATACCGGTTACAGTGCTTTTGCATTGCATGTTGTCTTTTCAGAGAGGTCCATGAAAATGTGTACAAGGACATGGGGAGGGTCATTCAAAAATAAGATAAGCATTACGAGAGGGTAATTAATTTCAGTACATTCCTGCATCAAAAACCTCTGACCGACCCCAATGATAAATGACCGGTCCCCAAGGGAAAAGTCCATTAATGTAATTTTCGTAGAACAATATAACAATTTTCTATTCCCATTTATGATTAATGTGTAATCACTTCATTCCACATCAGAAAATACCTTGTCAAAATCTCTGAACTGTACAAAGCTGTACAATGGTAGTATAAGCTGTAAACGTCTTCTCTCTACGAAGATGAAAATAACAACCTTCATCCTTATATCTACACACTTTGACCACTTGACCAGGTCAAGAAAACAAAAGTAAAGTGAAACAATGAAGGCAGCCTATGCTGATAATATGTCCAGACAACAAGACTTGGACACACGTGTACACTAGAATTGCAGTGAAAAAACCCTGACAAGCTGAGATCAACAGTGGATGAGTTTAATGCTTGTATCATGCAGGAGGGAAGCCCAAAGTGGTGTATATAGGACATATACCACTCTTGTGAAACCCATACGCATGGTGTAGCGCTGTAATACCAAGAAATATAATCAGAATGTGTCAAGGATCCAGAATCCCAATCAGCAAATCCTGGCATGGCTAAGGGACACAACTCTTCAAAATGAATCTTGACACAGATCACAGGGCTCATTGCACCCTGGCTGAGATCAAGTTAAGATATTCCAACAATAATCTCCCTGCAATAAGCATGGTGGACAGGTGCAATTTGCAGGTACTAACTTGAGCTGAATACTTACAACGCATTCTCCTTTAATTACATTATTTAGGTATCAACCAAATCTGTAATTAAAAAAGACAAGCCTGAAAGACAAAGGCCTACATAGCAACAATGTTAAACAATTCATTAAGTGATATACAACATAAAAGTGCACACTGAAATAGTTCCTACTACCTAGTCTGGTAAATGAGATTTTGCACAAGAAAGGCCTGCACTACCCCACCTCAGTGTGAACCAGTATCATTGATCATGTACCTGCCTCACAGACAGCCATTCCAGCCTTGGACAGGACGGCTGTCCCATTGAGGCTTGGTATCAACTTGCTTAAGATTTTCCCAAGCCCTGGTCACCATGGCTATTCAATGAGACCTACCGAGTCTACCGACACAACAGACCCTGTCCCATCGATATGGAAGTACCATCATGTCTGGGGCAAACAGGAGTTGTGGCCAGTGTTCGAAACACAACTCCAACTTATCAGACAAAATAGTAGCCCTCGAAAACTACTAATTACAGCTTGGATGGGTAACTTGGGTACTCGGGTTGGGTGGGTACTGAGAAGGACCTGGGTACCCATAGGACTACCCGGATATATTGTTTAATAACAAAAATTATCTAGAGCTCTATGGTTACACTAAAAGTCGGTAATGATCGCATTTCTTTCTGACTATGCACCTATTCCTTCTGACTCTCCTATGTTTAAATAAAGATAAAACTTCAGTCATCTTCAGTGTATGCATGACCAGATCGTTTAATATGTGTACCTAATTACATTTTGTCCAGGGCTACGGTCAAACTATTCCCAATCAGACATTTTGTATTATTGAGATCTACAGCGGGTACCTGGGTAGGGTTGGGTAATAGGGGGTGGGTACCTGGGTAGGGTTGGGTAATAGGGGTTGGGTACCTGGGTAGGGTTGGGTAATAGGGGGTGGGTACCTGGGTAGGGTTGGGTAATAGGGGGTGGGTAATAGGGGGTGGGTACCTGGGTAGGGTTGGGTAATAGGGGTTGGGTACCTGGGTAGGGTTGGGTAATAGGGGGTGGGTACCTGGGTAGGGTCGGGTAATAGGGGGTGGGTACCTGGGTAGGGTCGGGTAATAGGGGGTGGGTACCTGGGTAGGGTCGGGTAATAGGGGGTGGGTACCTGGGTAGGGTCGGGTAATAGGGGGTGGGTACCTGGGTAGGGTCGGTAATAGGGGGTGGGTACCCGGGTAGTAAATTTGGACTTGTCCAAGCCCTACTACTAACCCAACGAATGGTGAAGTACCCTGTGGTGACCAGGATGTTAGTAGGGTGAAGAAAAGTCACAAAAGGTTGGATCAGATGAAGCAGTGACCATTATTATACTATTTTATGGTCTCTGGGTGAAGTCGATGGTTTGGCTGGATTGCCTGTCATTTTACCCTGGAGGACTTGCTCACATCAACCACTAGCTTGTCTGGCCCTGTCTGGTGTTTGTGTTGTGCTGTCTGTGACAAAGACTGAGTGCATGCCAACTTTCATAAGTGCAGTGCAGGCACCACTGTGGACTAAGGTTGAACAACTCCCATTGAAAAGATTCATGCATTTTAATATCAGACAGAAATAGTTGGACAGAAACCAGCACATCTTTCGTGGAATGCATTTATATATACACAATATATTCTCTGTACAATGAAATCTCAAAAGCTTGCATATCAAGAAACAATAATTACAGAACATATACAATTTAAGTTTATGTAAAATTCACATCCTTGTAGTATTTACATAAAAATAAAATATTCACAATCTGTCGTACATGACAAGTTCTTCAAAGTCTTGAAAGAACGCATAGTTATAAATAAGTTGGTTTAAATGCCATGTTTAAAATATATCTTGAATTAAAATATATTAAATGCCAAGGCGTTAAATATTAACTTAGTGATATATCCCATAATCACCTGGTTACATCAACTATCTGAATGTATATCATCAATATATATCGTATATCTTTCCTGATGTTTAATAATAACCATATTTACTGTATACAAATTAAGTAATCATTTAGTTAACTCATTACAAATGATACCCACATGGCTTTCAAATTTAAGCAAAGCTAACAGAATAATCCAACAGACACTACTGAGCAATCCAAACACATGTTCGAATGGCTCGATAGTGTGGGAGTTCAAATTAATCGCCACATCGGCAATATTTCAGCCATATCATGACGAGTTGGCTCGATAACCATCACTTAGTAGGTGGTCTAAGTTAAATATAGCTGAAAATAAATGTTGCAGGGAAATAACGGCAGATGTAACGAAAGCACCAGCACTATGATAAAAGCACAGATATTTCTAAGATGGCTGCTGGGGCAGTTGCTTGGCAACAAATACCCTAACCACTTTGTAACAACTGTTCGTATTGGTTGATGAGGCAGGCCATCATGCAGTGCAGTGTTTAGCTGTCTCAAACAGTCCTTTCCTGAAGAACGGATCAAAGTCACACAAGATGTGTTTGGTCATGTGCTTGTTGTGTGTGGGGTGGAGGGGTGTGTTCGCAGATCTCATACACACTTCTATCAGGTTCTTCAAGTATTGCTGCAGAAAAAAATAAAAGACATTTTAGTAAAGAGAAGCATTTTAGAATCTAAAAATTATGCATACTCTGAGTGTCTAAATTCTCCTAAACGCTACTTATAAGTGTCACAGTGATCTGTTTTCCAAATAGTGAGTGAGTTTAGTTGAATACCCCTTTGATCAGTATTTCGGTGTAACTTACGGAACAAGTATGGTGCTGACAAACATAACTAAGGCCAACCAGGCCCACTTGCACAAAGCGATCTTAGCGCTAAGATGATCTTAACTCCCATACTTTAACCTAGGCTTACAATAGTCTTAGCGCTAAGATCGTTTTGTGCAAGTGGGCCCTGGACTCAAACCCAAGATCCTGATTGCTGGCACACCTAAGGGAGGGAACTCTGCAGAACGAAATTGGGTCTCCATTTTGGTTTGATTTTAAAACAAGATCCATATTATAAAGTTTCATTGGAACCCTTCTTTAACTGTGGGTTACGACATCAAATTCAGAATAATAATCTCCGGTTAAGAATAATAGATCGTGAGCATGTGAGATAGTGAGACCTGGCAGATCTGACTGTGTCAGGTGTGAAGGAGGACAATACGTACCCCCAGGTATGCAAACTGATCATATGGGCTATCAATGACTATCTCACCTCTAGCTGCAACCGTCTCTCAGCCACGGTCTTCTCTGACTTGCTGAACATCTTGCGAGGTGGGAACACGAGTATACTGGTCTGGAGAGGGAGACACAACAGCAGGAGTTCAGTAAAAATAAAGATAATTCTTTCAAAAAACCAATTCACATTTTCATGTGTTAATTCTATTTCAATACGGATTTCTATTATAAGCATAAGTAAATTATTCTAGTCATTGAAATGGGGTATTTTGATATCACTGTCAAAATCCTGAAAATTAAACTCAACCATGTGAATAAACTGTGTTCCCCAACTATTTTTCTACCTGAAACCTGTAATTTACAAAACAGTGTCCTGTCTACTATATCACTTATCTGTAAACATATGAAGACAAAACACAATGACAAGTAATCAACATAAGGCCCATGTGTTCATGACAGATTTATCTAAACACTGAATGATGGACCACCTCATTGCTGTTTCATGAGACATGTTGCCGGCAGAGTTATTTCCCCTTGGTTGCCTACCTCTGGGTATTTCTTCTTCATTATCTGATGCAGATCCCTGAAACGACTGTACCGCCGGAATATTGTCCATGTGTCCTCGCCAACACTGACCTGTAAACAACAAAAATAAAATGATGATGATGATGATGATGATGAAAACAATTATCACTTAAATCCATATAGATGCTACACAAAACAACAAAATCCTCAGGAAATCCTTCACAGTATCATGTGTCTCATATTGAAATCCTATTTTGAAATCCTATTTTGTAATATAACTAAAGAAACATGAAAAGTTAAAAATTTCTAAAAGGTAATCATGATGGTGAGGCGATAACTCCGAATAACACCGACCTTGACCTCATATTCATGATGTGAGTCGCTGCCATGACCTCGCAGGGTGTATGTGGGTATACTGATGTAGATGCGGGATGACGGACTGGAGAAGCTGCCGGAACTGGACGACCCACTGGTCTGACTCTGGAGATAGGAGAGAGTCAATCAGTTAATGTTGTATAGCAGACAATATTTAGCTACATCAAGGCATCCTGTAAATAATCAGTGAGTGAGTGAGTGAGTATGGTTTTACACCACTTTTAGCAATATTCCAGCAATATCATGGTGGGGTACCCCAGAAATGGGCTTCACACATTGTACCCATTTGGGGCATCGAACCCTGGTTTTCGGCATGACAAGTGGATGCTTTAACCACCAGGCAACCCAACTGTCCCTGTACATAATCAAGACAGGCCAACCAATGGTTGATAAGAAGAGTAACAATCCATGTCAGGGCACGATGACATGCAATCGGCCAGGTCAAACATCGATGCTCTTCAACAAGCTCGTGTTGCTGGAACCTATGCTGGCCCCAACACACACAGGGTCTGGAGATACGAACATTCTTTAAACCTCTTGATACACATTTACAGGTCTTGTGTTCCAACTTTGAGTAGGTCAGAAGGCAACTCACCATCCTACGCGGCGACTGGTCTGGGCTGCATATATTGTTGTTGTTCGAAGACTGAAGAGAGATAACAAGAGATGATCATGATTCAAGTTGTCATACAATATTACCAGGAATTATTCAGTTGTCTATAGTAGTACTGTTATGCAGAAGAAAAAGATCAAAAGAAATAAAAAAACATTGAGGTACACAACATCCAACTACTGACAAAGTGTAAACAATGAAATATAGCTCAATCTTTATCTTTTGTATAATATTTATAATCTTTCATAAACACTGCAAACAAATAATAATGATTATGATATGGTGCCATTTCTTTTACAAAATTTTTATATCAACATTTCCTTTGTTGAACTGTTTGTACTTACCATAGTCGACGTGTAAGGGTTAGACCGTGTGGGTGTTGACACTCTACCCATCCCATTACTGGAAGCAAGAGCACATCAATGTACAAGTGTTCAAACTGGGCTCTCCTATATGAGATTTCTTCAATACTCCACATTGGTATAGACTTATTTCTCAGCTACTTCATAATAATAACGACAACAACAACAACAATAATAATGCTCAGACATTAATTATACAATATTCGATAACATACATTCAATGATGATTCACACTCATTTCATTACTCTTTGACTGAAATCCATTCTCACTCAAGACAGATGTCCGTTCAGCATTTTTATCACAATGGCTCATAGCGGCTTAATTGAGTGAGTGAGTGAGTGAGTGAGTATGGTTTTACGCCGCTTTTAGCAATATTCCAGCAATATCACGGCAGGGGTCACCAGAAATGGGCTTCACACATTGTACCCATGTAGGGAATCGAACCCGGGTCTTCGGCGTGACGAGCGAACGCTTTAACCACTAGGCTACCCGACCGCCCCTGCAGCTTAATTGACCTTGAGCAGTCTTTTTGACCTTCATCAACTACTTCATCACCTACTTTTCTAGCTTGGCTCGAAGCTGCTTGAGTTCCCGGCTATGAGCTGCCTTGATTCTGAGAATCTCCTTCTCTCTCTCTATCCTCTCATTCTCCTTGTCTATCTTCCTTATTCTGTCTCTCTCCACTTTCTCCTCAAACAGACGGCGCTTCACCTCCTGCTCCACCAGGTTGTTGATCCTGAAGAACAGCAAGTCAGTCGGTATGAGTAACTTGGCTTTAGCTATGTTAGATAATGAAGTACTGCAGGTCAGTCAGCCAAAGAGCTTATTTAGAGAATGGCCAAAACGAGCTTCAAGGAATTACAGAGTATCTTTCGCAAATGATGGAATGGTGAGTTTGGAGCCTTTGACAATGAGTGAGTGAGTGAGTTGGGTTTACCGCCGCTTTTAACAGTATTCCAGTTATATCACGGCGTGTCAGCTTAATGTGGGAGGAAAGCCCGAAGTGATGCAGGTCTCAGACGTTTACCACTTCGGTGAAACCCATGAGCACGGGTATGCTTACAAACCTAGAAACATAATCGGGGCGAACTGGGATTCAAACCCACAATCATAGGTTTCTGGCGTGCCCAAGGGACGCAACTCTGCACAGCGAATCGCGGCGCCTTAGACGACTAGGCCACCCATGCCCCTCCTTTGACAATGAGTTACTGCTAATGATGTATCATTATCACGTTGTGACGCGGTAAACAATGGATGTCATCATATCGCAATGTTCTCAACAATGCATCAACGTGATACCATCTGACTGGTGGATATTCATTACAGTCAATGGGAAATGCTACTTTGTAGACCTGCTAACCTGCTTACAATTCCACATAACGAGCTTAGCGCTTTGACTAGCATAAGTAGGAGAGATTGTGGGCTCCTGGACAAGATAACCAGTGAGTGATCGTGCAAGCACCCATAACACCCAGTTGGAACAGACAGATGATCCCTTAGGTAGTAAACAATGCAGGTACCCAATTCTGAATGTCCATTGGAAAATCCATTACTGTCTCATGTGACAAGCATAAGATGGTGTTTTTAAAAATTCCCCACAAGTTACTGGTTGATAGCAGAGAAATGCTGAAAGCTCTCCCAATGTGACATTCCTCATGTAAGTCTGTTCTTACAAGGGTAGAGTACATGGTATCCATCTTGCCCTGGAACTGCCAGAGTCCATTTTAGTGACTGTGTTATTCACGTCTATACTGTATCATCTCACCTCTCCTTGTGTTCCATATCCTGCAATCTAAACTTTTCAAACTCGATACGATCCAGCTCAGCATCTCGCTCCTCTTCAAACTTCCTTCGTTTTTCTTCCAGCTCCTGTTGTCCTTTCTCTATATCTTCTCTCAGCCTTTCCATCTCCTGGAACACATCAATCACATTCCACTTGTAACCATGGCGACTATATACACCTATGTTGGACCCTGGACATTCAGGAGCTTTTTCCACCGTGTTGTCCAATTTCCGACATTGTTTCCAGATCCCCCCTCAATACCAACTATCACTAACCTGTCCCCCTGACCACCTTGTAGTCTGATCCCGACATAGTGTCCAGATCCCCCTCAATACCAACCTGCATTAACCTGTCCCCCTGACCACCTTGTAGTCCAATCCCGACATAGTGTCCAGATCCCCCTCAATACCAACCTGCATTAACCTGTCCCCCTGACCACCTTGTAGTCCAATCCCGACATAGTGTCCAGATCCCCCCTCAATACCAACCTGCATTAACCTGTCCCCCTGACCACCTTGTAGTCCAATCCCGACATAGTGTCCAGATCCCCCCTCAATACCAACCTGCATTAACCTGTCCCCCTGACCACCTCGTAGTCCAATCCCGACATAGTGTCCAGATCCCCCTCAATACCAACCTGCATTAACCTGTCCCCCTGACCACCTTGTAGTCCAATCCCGACATAGTGTCCAGATCCCCTCAATACCAACCTGCATTAACCTGTCCCCCTGACCACCTTGTAGTCCAATCCCGACATAGTGTCCAGATCCCCCTCAATACCAACCTGCATTAACCATTAACCTGTCCCCCTGACCACCTTGTAGTCCAATCCCGACATAGTGTCCAGATCCCCCCTCAATACCAACCTGCATTAACCTGTCCCCCTGACCACCTTGTAGTCCAATCCCGACATAGTGTCCAGATCCCCCCTCAATACCAACCTGCATTAACCTGTCCCCCTGACCACCTTGTAGTCCAATCCCGACAAAATGTCCAGATCCCCCCTCAATACCAACCTGCATTAACCTGTCCCCCTGACCACCTTGTAGTCCAATCCCGACATAGTGTCCAGATTCCCCCTCAATACCAACCTGCATTAACCTGTCCCCCTGACCACCTTGTAGTCCAATCCCGACATAGTGTCCAGATCCCCCTCAATACCAACCTGCATTAACCTGTCCCCCTGACCACCTTGTAGTCCAATCCCGACATAGTGTCCAGATCCCCCTCAATACCAACCTGCATTAACCTGTCCCCCTGACCACCTTGTAGTCCAATCCCGACAAAGTGTCCAGATCCCCCTCAATACCAACCTGCATTAACCTGTCCCCCTGACCACCTTGTAGTCCAATCCCGACATAGTGTCCAGATCCCCCCTCAATACCAACCTGCATTAACCTGTCCCCCTGACCACCTTGTAGTCCAATCCCGACATAGTGTCCAGATCCCCCTCAATACCAACCTGCATTAACCTGTCCCCCTGACCACCTTGTAGTCCAATCCCGACATAGTGTCCAGATCCCCCTCAATACCAACCTGCATTAACCTGTCCCCCTGACCACCTTGTAGTCCAATCCTGACATAGTGTCCAGATCCCCCTCAATACCAACCTGCATTAACCTGTCCCCCTGACCACCTTGTAGTCCAATCCCGACATAGTGTCCAGATCCCCCTCAATACCAACCTGCATTAACCTGCCCGACATAGTGTCCAGATCCCCCTCAATACCAACCTGCATTAACCTGTCCCCCTGACCACCTTGTAGTCCAATCCTGACATAGTGTCCAGATCCCCCCTCAATACCAACTATCACTAACCTGTCCCCCTGACCACCTTGTAGTCCAATCCCGACATAGTGTCCAGATCCCCCTCAATACCAACCTGCATTAACCTGTCCCCCTGACCACCTTGTAGTCCATTCCCGACAAAGTGTCCAGATCCCCCTCAATACCAACTATCACTAACCTGTCCCTCTGGATCTCAATGTCTCTAACGTCTCTAATAACTCTCCCTGATAAATATTCTGCTGCTATTTTTCCTGCCTATTTCCAACTATTTCTCTTGTGTTTGTTTCATCCTCAATATATTCCCAGGCTTTAAACTAGTTTTCCATTTCAATTCAAATTTATGTCTCCAAGGTTAAATAATTCTGGTTTGTTCCAAGCTTAAGCAGACGAGGATGATACAATACAGAAACAAGTGCCGTATCCAATTTCTTATCAACGATGTTTCTTAATGAACTGTCAACAAGATTAAAGCATTTAATTGTTCTTGTAGTTCGAGAGCTTTGTTTTGTTTCTTTGTTTGTTGTTAAACGCCATACTCGGCAATATTCCAGCCATATGACGGCGGTCTGTAAATAATCAAGTCTGGACCAGACAATCCAGTGATTGACATCATGAGCATCGATCCATGCAATTGGGATACGATGACATGCATCCACCAATTCAGCAAGCAAGACCACCTGATCCCATTAGTCGCCTCTTACGACAAGCATAGTCGCTTTTTATGGCAAGCATGGGTTGCTGAAGACCTATTCTACCCAAGATCTACACGGTTGGAGAGCGAAGTATGAGTACACCAAGTGGAGGATGGACTACAAACACCCAGCTGCATCTTTCGGGTTCTCAGTTATGTCAGTGATACAGACTGGGGTTCTTTCAAAAAGACGTATTTTACCTGTGTCTGTTGGATTAATTTTTTCTTCTCATCTTCAAACTGTTGAATCTTTCCATCCATCTGAGCTCCCAACAGCCCTCCTGCGTCTGTCGCACAGCCAACATCATGTGAGGCCCTCTCTGACATCAGCCTGCAACAGCGTGAGATAATGAACACAAGCATATCTGCACAAGAGAAGTCTTTCACACACAGGTGGCTCCAGGAATCATTCTTCCATTAGGGGGCAACAGGAATCATTCTTACATTGTGTAGCAAGAGGAATCATTCTTTCATTGCATAGCAACAGGAATCATTAATACATTGAACAGCAACAGGAATCATCCTTCATTGTGTAGCAACACGAATCATTCTTACATTTTGTAGCAACAAGAATCATTCTTACATTGCATAGCAACAGGAATCATTCTAACATTGCATAGCAACAGGAATCATTCTTCCATTGCATAGCCAGAGGAATCATTCACTCACTGCATAGCAACAGGAACTATAAACGCAGGGCTTGTCATCACAGAGAAACACACATCTGAACTATAGCCAGATCAAATATCCATGTCACTAAGATATATAATCGGCTACAAGATAAACCTATACTCCCTGCAGCCATACAACCCATCTCACATGACACATACGCTACTTCAGGAATCAACATTTTCATGACCAGTGGTACTGTAACTTACTTCAGGCTATCAACAATTAAACATTGAAGAATAAACCTGACTGCACTTCAGAGTTTGTGTTGGGTAAACATTCCTTCAAGATAGAAGAGTGTTGTTAACACTAGCCAGATTCGGGATTCTGTGTAGACTGTTATCCTCGCCATCATCTAATATCTGATGTTATCAGACTCTTGCCAGTGGCTTCCCCACAAACTATTTGGCAATGTGATACACAATGATCTAAATACATTCACTTTTTATACTATACTAGTCTGCTTCTCAGTTTCTAATAGGGGTTAAGTTATCTTGGTCAAGGAGCTGCTTGCTATCTGTATCTGCTACCCCTTAAGTTTGTGTCTACACCATCCACTCCATGATGCTCAGTCTGACCATGTTGCATCTGTGGCAGACAAACTTCTAGTCTCTGAAATGAACATATTTTACAGAAGAAACAGACTTTTCAGACTTAAGACTTAAGTAGTATTATAGACTTGCATGGGCTGTATTGGATATATTTGTTTCAGTGTCTGTATGACTACATCTGTGGTACTGCCCTCTAGGGCTGGGAAGAATCTAAATTTACTACCCGGGTACCCACCCCCCTATTACCCGACCCTACCTGGGTACCCGCTGTAGGTCTCAAGAGAAAGGTACAAAATGTCTGATTGGTACTCCTGTCAAAATGTATTTTGATAGAGGTATAAAATGATCTGGTCATACATACACTTAAGTTGACTGAAGTTTTATCTTTATGCAAACATATAAAGTCAAAAGGAATGTGTGCATAGTCGGAAAGAAATGAGAATATTTGTCACTTATAGTGTAACCATAGAGTTCTAGATAGTTTTTGTCATTAAACAATATAATCACCTGACTAACCACAGGTCCGGGTAGTGCTGTGGGTACCCAGGTCCTACTCAGTACCCAACTGACCCGAGTACCCAAGTTACCCGTCCCAGCCCTACTGCCCTCAATAACTGATAAGTTTTTTCAATGCTGAGATCTGCTTTTGTTTTCCTTTGGCAATGCTATACTAGAAGTATACAGCTTCTCTTGTTTTCTCTCTCCCTCATTGTCTATCTCTACCTCTGTCCTCCTTCGTCAGTGACGACTACCTCTACCTCCGTCTCCCCTCGTCAGTGACGACTACCTCTACCACCGTCCTCCTTCGTCAGGGACAACTATCTCCACCTCTGTCTTCCTTCATCAGGGACGACTACCTCTACCACCGTCCTCCTTCGTCAGTGACAACTACCTCTACCACCGTCTTCCTTCGTCAGTGACAACTACCTCTACCACCGTCTTCCTTTGTCAGTGACAACTACCTCTACCACCGTCTTCCTTCGTCAGTGACAACTACCTCTACCACTGTCTTCCTTCGTCAGTCCTCTGCGTCACCCACTACTCCACCTCTGTCTCACCCTGTGTGTGGTAAATCAGACATGCATATCCTCCTCCCATGAGAACACTGGCAGACATGTAAGGCCTTAGACATTCTACATGCTATTCATGAGTTGACAGTCCCCTTGATCCCAGCCCCAGGCAGGAGCATAAACCTTCACTTACGACTCCCATCATAAAGTACAGGAATAGGTCCTGTCCTCCAAAGAGCATGTTTCCCCCCAGTTGATTGATATCAGTCCAGGGCATGTTCAACAAAACAACTGTAGCGCTAAGACGATTGTAACTTCCAAACTTTAACATAGACAGACCGCAACTGTAGTGCTACGATTGCTTTGTGGAATGGGTAGTTCAGCAATACAGAAATAACACATGCTGAAAACAGACATCATACATAGACAAACTGGCCAAAGATTACTTTTTTATAATAATTACATAGGTAAACAGTGAATATAGCATGCCAAGGATGGGGACTGCTTTCAATAGGTCAAATTGAATACTGCAAACGGTTTAATAAAGTTAAAAATGCATTACACATAACTTCAGCTTACATTTTCTCTTTAAGAATGTCCTTTGTTACAAAATATCCAATAATTTGGCAGGTACTTGCAGAATGTGTCAGAACAAGGTTCAAGTGACATGATTAAAGGCTTAACTGAGGCTGATTGCCAAGATTGGTGTTACATAACACATGATCATAGGGACCCACACACTGAACACAGCACTACATGTTACAACCAGTACAATATACATACCGTGTTATATACATGTCATACAGACGTGTAATAAATCTTCATAATGCTATATCCATTATTAACCTCAATTCCTTCATGAAGTAGAGATTGATATCTGTATCTGCTACCCCTTAAGTTTGTGTCTACACCATCCACTCCATGATGCTCAGTCTGACCATGTTGCATCTGTGGCAGACAAACTTCTAGTCTCTGAAATGAACATATTTTACAGAAGAAACAGACTTTTCAGACTTAAGACTTAAGTAGTATTATAGACTTGCATGGGCTGTATTGGATATATTTGTTTCAGTGTCTGTATGACTACATCTGTGGTACTGCCCTCTAGGGCTGGGAAGAATCTAAATTTACTACCCGGGTACCCACCCCCCTATTACCCGACCCTACCTGGGTACCCGCTGTAGGTCTCAAGAGAAAGGTACAAAATGTCTGATTGGTACTCCTGTCAAAATGTATTTTGATAGAGGTATAAAATGATCTGGTCATACATACACTTAAGTTGACTGAAGTTTTATCTTTATGCAAACATATAAAGTCAAAAGGAATGTGTGCATAGTCGGAAAGAAATGAGAATATTTGTCACTTATAGTGTAACCATAGAGTTCTAGATAGTTTTTGTCATTAAACAATATAATCACCTGACTAACCACAGGTCCGGGTAGTGCTGTGGGTACCCAGGTCCTACTCAGTACCCAACTGACCCGAGTACCCAAGTTACCCGTCCCAGCCCTACTGCCCTCAATAACTGATAAGTTTTTTCAATGCTGAGATCTGCTTTTGTTTTCCTTTGGCAATGCTATACTAGAAGTATACAGCTTCTCTTGTTTTCTCTCTCCCTCATTGTCTATCTCTACCTCTGTCCTCCTTCGTCAGTGACGACTACCTCTACCTCCGTCTCCCCTCGTCAGTGACGACTACCTCTACCACCGTCCTCCTTCGTCAGGGACAACTATCTCCACCTCTGTCTTCCTTCATCAGGGACGACTACCTCTACCACCGTCCTCCTTCGTCAGTGACAACTACCTCTACCACCGTCTTCCTTCGTCAGTGACAACTACCTCTACCACCGTCTTCCTTTGTCAGTGACAACTACCTCTACCACCGTCTTCCTTCGTCAGTGACAACTACCTCTACCACTGTCTTCCTTCGTCAGTCCTCTGCGTCACCCACTACTCCACCTCTGTCTCACCCTGTGTGTGGTAAATCAGACATGCATATCCTCCTCCCATGAGAACACTGGCAGACATGTAAGGCCTTAGACATTCTACATGCTATTCATGAGTTGACAGTCCCCTTGATCCCAGCCCCAGGCAGGAGCATAAACCTTCACTTACGACTCCCATCATAAAGTACAGGAATAGGTCCTGTCCTCCAAAGAGCATGTTTCCCCCCAGTTGATTGATATCAGTCCAGGGCATGTTCAACAAAACAACTGTAGCGCTAAGACGATTGTAACTTCCAAACTTTAACATAGACAGACCGCAACTGTAGTGCTACGATTGCTTTGTGGAATGGGTAGTTCAGCAATACAGAAATAACACATGCTGAAAACAGACATCATACATAGACAAACTGGCCAAAGATTACTTTTTTATAATAATTACATAGGTAAACAGTGAATATAGCATGCCAAGGATGGGGACTGCTTTCAATAGGTCAAATTGAATACTGCAAACGGTTTAATAAAGTTAAAAATGCATTACACATAACTTCAGCTTACATTTTCTCTTTAAGAATGTCCTTTGTTACAAAATATCCAATAATTTGGCAGGTACTTGCAGAATGTGTCAGAACAAGGTTCAAGTGACATGATTAAAGGCTTAACTGAGGCTGATTGCCAAGATTGGTGTTACATAACACATGATCATAGGGACCCACACACTGAACACAGCACTACATGTTACAACCAGTACAATATACATACCGTGTTATATACATGTCATACAGACGTGTAATAAATCTTCATAATGCTATATCCATTATTAACCTCAATTCCTTCATGAAGTAGAGATTGATGATGACAGCAGCCTTAATCCCTGTCCCCCAGTCATTGAGGTCGTGCTCCACACGCTAACACCTCCCACCCCCCATACCTTTGTCTTCCCTCCCTCCCCTTCAGTTGAGGTCCTGCTGTGTCTGCTGGGGGCTTGATCCTAGTTCAGCCACTCTACATAATAACCATTGTTCCACCTTGCCTCCAGGGATGCATATGTGATTCAGCATGGTCCAGATATAGATTATGTAACACTGAACTGTCTATTCTTCAAAGTACACTTTGATAGAAGCTGTGTGCAGCACTATCAACAACATACAAACCCAAG